CGTTCTGCATGGAATTTTGTGTGCAGAACCCTGCCCAGTTATGAAAGAAGTTGTCTTGTAGAATTGAACAAGAGGGTAGTGACTTGGTCGTAAGGATCCTTGAATCTTGCTGGGGATCTTGAACGTTGGAAACGTATCGACTGTATCCGAAAGTGGTGGGAGATATCACATCCATAGAGCTTTTATGTTCAGGCGTTTCTACGGGCATTTTGAACAGTGAGCATGTTTTTCGGGGATTGTGGTTGGTCAGAAAGGTTTAGTATCTGAACAAAGACCAACGAGTGTGAGGTTTTTGGATCTGAGTGTACAAAACTATATCCCCTACCTAATTATCCCAATACCTAAGATATATGGACAGACTCTCCTGTTGGTAAAAGTTACGGGAAAGGTTTTAGGCGACCGAAGGGTTTTCGACAGTTCATATGTCCTCTTGAACTTCCCAACAATAAAATTGTTGTTGCACTATTCTTCGAATCCAGACACGCTTTACACCCTTTTTTTATCTTAGTCACGGCTCGGCGGGGTTGAAAATGTATTGATCAGATGTTCGAATAATCAAATTTTGATACTGTATTCATGCATTGAAGACGCAATAACGCCAACAAGTGCACCATTGTATGCTTGAAAATGAATGGTGAATTGCTGGCTGAGGAGCAGGTGGAAGAACAAAGCAAATTGGCGATCAATCTTTCCAAGCGGTAGGTTGGTGATATATTTGTGTGTCGCGTCAAGACAAAAACATATGAAAACGAGAATTTATTGCAAGAAGAAAGTTTGTTTAATAATTTTTTAATAGATCGTGGAGTCTGTAAAGTAACCAGTCACTCAGTGTTTGAATACCAGATGAGAGAAACCTGCTAGGAGCTCAGATGTTGTGTCTTTGTTGTTTGAAATCCCGATGGGATAGTTCTATTGTGCTGTTATCTTAATATATATTCTCTTTTATTCTCTCCTATTTTATTTTACTTTATCGTTTCTTTCCTCCCTACGAAAGAAATTACGCGGGAAGCATTCAAGGATACCGATCGCTAATAAAGACGCGACTTTCAATTACCACGGGTTGCATAACCAAAGGTATTATTATGCCCTCTCAAAATGGCACTTGATGCACACAATAGAAATATTTAATATAATTTTGTTCTATTCATGGTTTCTAAAGAGGAGTCATCAAATTCCGATTATAAAATCCCTTCCTGGTCCATTTTTTAAGAGGAAGTTGAAACCATGCATACTAGAACGAGATGAGACTACATCTCGAATGTCAACGCTTCTTGTCAAAGATGCTTCCAATGACTATAAATGGGCTATTTTGCTACATTATTGTTTTGGTATCCATTTCCATGAAGTTTTCTGCGGCAGCTGAAGATATTTACCATCACCGTGGGGGTATCCATCTACGAAATAACTGCCCTTTCCCATTGTATGTAGAAGGTGTGGCAAACGTAACGTATCTTGATACAGTTATTCCACCAGGAAAAACCTTTTCTGATTTATATCGCCTCACGGTTGATGGTAAAGGGACTTCTCTAAAGATTGGTGTCCAGAAAGGAAGTTCCAATATAACTCAGGTGGAATACAGCGCTTGTTTCCCAAGTAATATAGACACTGGTTGTCTACCCTTACAAACGGTGTTCTATGATCTTTCGAATATCAATGGCAGTCCATTGATGCAATATGGAATACGTATTGAGCCATCTTTCAAAAACTGTACCACTATTACCTGTCCTCAAAATGTCGAGCAGTGTGATCAGGTTTACAACAATCCGGATGAAAATTATGCCACGAAGGCCTGTGACAGCTCTGCAGATCTAAAGGTCGATCTTTGTTTAGCATAGTAGATTTCTTCAAAGCGTATTTTCATGCATTAGAAGTCCTCACTGGCGCATGTATTACACTTCGTGCAGATGACCAAAGGGAAGGCTTCGTTTTCCGGCTCTGATCTAGTCTGCTTAATTGCAACGACCGCCATATCGAAAACCGGGTGGTCACTAGGATTTCGCAGGATTGGGTATTTATTAAAAATATAATATTAACTAGCCTAGAGTAGCATATTCACACTCCATGGTTGTATCCTGCATATTGGTAATTACCAAGGGAAGAAATGACAAGTTCCATACCGGCACCAAAACTTTTCCCACAGGGTCCAATTAATTCCTAGCGTCTTCGTGTTTTAAAAATGAAAGAATATACCTTATCAGAGCGAAAGAACTTTCTCCATCAGTGGTCCTGATGATTTCTTCCTCACCTGTAACATGGATCAGGAGCATTGCAACGATGTTTTCAAACTGAATGGAATCTTGGTCCCCGATAGAGAGAGTAGCTTCTTCCATGGATTCTGGAATTTCATTGGCAAAAAGAAAAGGAAGAAATCCGATTGAATCTTCCAGTTCAAGCCTTTTAAGATTGGAAAGCTTCACAGGTGGGAAGCAAGGTACCCACGGAAACAGAAGAATGGACCTCTTAATGCGGATCTCATCAAGACTGGCACTCAGATTGGAAATCATGGAAGCAAATCTTGTTCCAGCAATTGAGTGGTTCAAAACCAATAACCTTAGTGATTCCGTTGAGCCATAAAGTGCGAGGTTGTCATTTTCTAGCCATGCGATCTCAAGCCGAGAGAGCTGTGGAAAATTTCCTAGGTTCACTAGAACCGAGCAGTGATGCGAGCGAGAAACGTGAGAATCAAAATCGATAGAAAGGGATGTGAGTGATGGTAAGCGAGGAAACGCCAAGCATCCGGCAGATTCACTGTGAATTTCAAGTTCTTGCAAAAGCCAGAATGAAGGACAATATATCCCTAGACTCAACGGGATGTCGAGCACATTGTTTCGCAAAGGGACTCTGTTGTTGGACGATAATTGCTGCATGTGCTCATGTTGGCTGCCTTGCACAAATTGGGTACTATTTCGTGTCACAGCTGTGTATTTCAATATGGATATTCGAGAAAAGCATCTAAAAAGAAAAAGAGGGAGAGGTGGAGAAGGACATGGTGTCTTACGGGAAGTTCTTCAACACGGCCAGGTTTCCAGGGTTCATGGGTAGGTGGCACCCACGACAGCCAAGATTAACTTTCTGTATTTCCAATGACATACTCTGTAGGATTGTTGTGATTGCCCTGGCCTGCAATGTCCTCCCGTTCAAACTGAGAGTAGTTCTTGGTTGAAGGAAAACGTCCAGTTGACGAAATAATCTCTCAGCCACATATGGCCGCAGCGAGATTGAAGTGTTCCAGAGTTTCCAAAGATGGTCATGCTCTGGAAGCTAGGATGTGTCAGTCCGCTCTCTCACTTGTGGAAAACTTGATACCCTTACAAAGTCGAGGATGACATATAGTAAGTCCAGTGGAAGTTTTAACAGCATTCTTTCACCTGATAATCTGGTCTTGTAACCCAATCGTAAATGATTTCAGTTTTGCAATTGTCTCAGCTGTGCCTTTCGTGGTGAGGATGTCTATATTGCTCTGTAGCGAGCTCTAGGTGACGCGGCGGCAATTCAACCTTGCAACTCTCGAACAAAGAAAAGAAAGGACTTAACATGCGCGGGATTGTGAGACGATGAGAGGAAAGGAATCGACACCTCTACTTTAAACTGGTATAGTAGCCTAGGGTTTCAGAACTAATATCCTGTTGGCCAGAACCGAATAATCTGAAATTCCCATTATACCTGTTTGGATACCCTCACTTATTGGGATGATGGTGGAATGCATGGCATACTGAATCAACCAGGGGAACGACCAACCCTCACTTACCGGCCCAAGTTAACATAGCCACTAGTTGCGCCGCTCTTTTTGGTTCATTCTCTTTTCACATCTGCTCAATTAGCTACAATTAGTCTGTTGAACTGAGTCCGATGTCCGCGGATTGGTGTTTGATAATATAGGGCGGTGTTCAACGTCGGACCTCCTAGGAAATCACCCTCCGGTTGATGTCGCCCGCGTTAGCAATCTCCTATTCGAGATGACCGTGGTAGTTGCTTCCTTTCCGTTGCTTTGTCCTTTCCTGTGCGGACCGATCAACAATTCGAACCAGCGAGAGGAGTCCTGCTCAAAACAGTATTAAAATTGACCACGCTTTGAGTTCTCATGTCGGCTCTCGGTCTCTGATACCTTCGACAATGCATTCTTGGTACAGTAATTGATTCAACAGTCACTTACGTAGCTTCTAGGGAATGTTAAGTAATCCGCAGACGGAGTTGTAAATTTATTGCTGCTCAGCTGGACAATTCGTCCGCGGTTCCAGTCCGTCCGACAGTATTTTCCGGTAGGAAGAGGTATTGTCCCTGTATTCGAGCGCGGAAATAGCCGAAGATCTAATAACAGAGTCCAGAAATTTCGATATTTGTCCGGGACGCACATCGAACCCTGTTACATACGGTAGCGCATTTTTACGATAAATGATGCTTAGTGAAAGAAAAGGCCAACAACCGAGCGGGAATATCTGGGTTCCTACGAAAGCAATGGAGATTTTGTGTGAAAATCTAGACCGTACGGACGTCCCGTAATGGAAATGCAAATCACGAATAAATAAATCTCTGATTCAAAACCACTCTAGGATGCCCAACAATTTAGGAAGCCAACTAACTAGTAATAGACTAATACAAAATAGGAAACAGGCGGTGAGAGTCCAATTCTTGACACCTTGTCTTGGGGTTGCACTTTCAAGACACCCTCTGCAGTATTAATAAAAAGGCCCATCATTGACACTATCACCACCCACCTCCTGGTGACGACTAGCTCAGAAATAGTACAGGGCTTCATATATGTATCCCGGACACGTAAGCCATACTATTGGCGGTCGTCGATTTCTCAAGGCTGTTTGACAAAGAGCGAACGCCCGTCAGGCGTCAGTAGCGCGGAATACAGAGTTGTACTACAGGCTCGTCTTATCGAGACTGGTGGCGTAAAGGTTGTGGCCGCACGGTGTGTCGTGTGTCTTTGTGTAGTGGGCGTTTGGTTGTCGCAACGAGAAAGCGCGGTGACACCCAGACACCCAGCAGACATATCACTTTTTCTTGGTGTGGATCTTCATGTGCCGCTTTAGGTGATCTTGGCGCCCGAAGGACTTGTTGCACTCGAGTATCTTGCACTTGAACCGCGCCTCTTTGACAATGGAGCGCACGTTTTCCCGGCTCAGTTTAGAACATGCACGCTGCTTCTTGGGCCGCCCACCGAAGACCTGGCCTTGTTGTTGTGTCAGAAAAATCTCACTACCCGCTGCGGAGAGGTGGCCTTTCTTGTCAGACTCAGTCTGTGCTTCGTAGAACTGACTTGAAGGCGTATTGGCGCCGAAAGAAATTCTCAACGGTCGGATAGGAATCAGGGAATTTTGCGCATTGGAAGTGGCGATTCTGGGCGGCGACTCAAAGCAGGAGACGGAAAGAGTAGCTATTGCTGCAAAAGGGAAAGCCTGCAGAGGTGTGACTGTCTGCGGTGTTATAGACTCGTCTTCGGGTATCTCAGGGAGCATATTACACATAGACACCGAGTTGGACATCTGTTCCAGCTGGCAAAAGTTTGGTCGGACAATGCGAAAACTAGACGTAGACTCAGGTAGGTAGTCCGGTTGGTGGGAACAGGAGTGGTTGGGAGCAGACTGAATAAGTGTCTGGAAGGGGAAATCGGTTTCATTCTTAAGGAGACTTTCCGCGTCATATCTCTGGAGGTAGTCAGAGATGGGAATCTGCTCTTGGTGGCCATTGCTGTCACACGGCAGGGTGTTGTCTAGTGACGACAGGCCGTCCATCTGAATCGTACTTTACGGCGGTTTGGCGGACGTGCGTCTTTTCACCGACAAGCGGTGGCTGATAGAGTCTTGGGAGCTCTGAATATAAGAGCTGGTATTGAAGTACGTTGGAACATGGACGAAAATCTGGGGCCATCCAGAACTCGCATTGGCCTTGAAACGCTGGTGTGGACTCTAGAGGATGAGTCTGGGCAAGATATCAACCGACATTTACTGTCTTGCAGACGATCCCCTCGTGCCTACCAGCTTTTAAAAATGTCGGGTCGAATAGCATTAAACAAAATATATCAAACACGGCAACTTTCAATAACGTCTCCTAGATGATATAAGATGAAAATTCCATCTGCTCGGTGGATTTTGCCGAAGGGCAGTGGATGCATGAGCGTCTTCTCCCTACCGTTCACTTTGTGCGGCGCAATGCGGTAACCGGTATCACACAACCAACAGAAAGCCTCATCCGTTAGCAATTACCTTCATCTGCTGCGATGCCGCTGCAGCCTTTATGACGCGACCATAAACATGTCTAAGTGGAGAAATTTAATTCTGTTCAGCATTGACTGCGTTGATTCTATATAAGCCCTCTCTGAGATATCGGTTCAACTGGCATCGAGAAATTAATGTTCAACATACTGCACCTTTGTGTATCCTTGTGCGCAGGCCTCTATCTGGAAATTCTAATCTAGTGGGTCTCATTGCGGCTAGTCCGCTACAAGACAGTATTACATAAAAGCTTGTGCACTAGGTCGAGTTCAACGAATAAAAAAGACTTGCGACGTAGCTGTCCAACAGCTATGTGAGGGAGTAATTTGTAAAATTGCTGCATTGCCCAGTCACACCCGTTCAGAACAGCAAAACAAGTAACCAAGTAGTCAGATGTGGACACGGACCCAATTGCACTAAACCAACTAAATTATTGTTCTCGGAACATGAACTATAGGAATCAAGTACTGTAACTAAAGAAACCAATACAAGACTATTAATCACTTCACATTTAGAGGATAACATCATCGTTCCAAGGTGTAAATTTACTATAACACAGAATTCATGGATATAATGTTCAACTGCCGTGCAATTTCTCTAGTTGCAAGCGCAGGTATTGGTGTTTTGGGCTGGATGTTGTCTTAAACTAGTTGTCGAACAACTAGACCCAGATGAACCAGTGTTGTCGTCCTTACACTTGCTGCCAACTTTGAAATCATTATCAAGTACGCACTTGGAAGTTTCTCCTTGTTGATTTATAAAAGAAACACTGCTGTTTTTGTCCACAGTCACCCACGCAGCCTGTCCTCCATTCTCCGTACCACAAATGTCAAGCTTGAGCACCGTTGCATCAGTGCTGGTCCCGTTTATATAAAATCCTGGAGATTAGTCAACATCTTCTTAGTCTGTGAAGATAAGCCTGTGTGGACGTCAAGACGTAAGGACTCACTCGAACAGTCTTTTCCGTCGAATTTGGCGAAGGGCTCCGAGTAGCCGGTGCAGCCGTGGTTCCCTTCAGACCATATCCTGCATACCCCCTGGTTATTGATAACAGCAAATGAATTACCAACGGCGAGCCTTGTTAACAGGCATACGGATGAGACATAGGTTATTGGCCGCATTCTGATTGAAATTCAAGGCAGCGACAGAAATTGAGACTTCTTCGATTGTTATGGAGCAATTGGGGGGAATGAGTCGCTCCAGGCAGCCTTATAAGCTCAAATGATTACTTTGATTACTTTTCGTTCACAATACTGTTTAAATTGACATTACTCGCGTCTAGACCAATTTCCGTATTACAAGTTTATAATCGATCAGGATATTTAGATGTCCCATCTCGATATTTGATTCGATACCCCCGATTGTTTTGCTGCTCTAATCTTCCGTTCAACAATTGTGGCCCATCTTATTCGAGAACCCACGATGCCGATACTGAAAGAAACTAGCAATTTTGACCGAATAATTGTGTAATATAACACTTTTCGTCACCTGTAAAACTTCTAGGAGGCCGGTTCCGTTAGATCCTTTTTTTTTTTTTTTTTTTTTTTTTGAGTGACAACATTCTACATTGACAAAAGCAACGGGTGGATATTGTACTTCACTTTATTGATTTATTAAACAGGGTTGTGGCATATGACGAATAATAGTGTTCAAGAGACGAATAGATACTTCTTGTATTCATACAAGCATGTCGAAAAAGACAAGACGGCACTCAAAGCATAATCTCATTTGGATGGTCATTGTCATGTAGGTCTTCTTTAAGAAGCGTGCCTGCTCCTAACCATTTGCTACTTTGCTATCCCAAATGATCAAACATCCTACATTCTTGAAGATTTTACTCCTAGAGAAAATGCGCTTATTGAAACAAATCCCACAAGAAATATTTGACATTGTAGTGAAAGGGCTGAGCCCTAATCTCACTAAAAATGCAGCGGATATTTTCTTAAAGAACGAAACTCAAGAGAATAGGCTTTGGAGAGCTATATTCGAAAAAGATGAATGGCTTGACAAGGCTGTTGAATTGGGAGCTAGCCCCGCACTGATTGGCCCAAAGTTAGGGAAATTCGGAACTCCAGGGTACAGAGATTCCTCACGTCTTCATATCCTCTTAGTAACGAATGATTGGCGGGGTGATGTACAATATTCTAAGGATCTACTATTTCAGTGTTTGAAGGCGGGGTACAGATATAATAAAGCAAAGCTCCAGGTTACCCTTCCGGAGACTAGGCTTAAAGGCCCCAACAAACAGAAGATGCTCATCCCAGAGATCGTACTATATATGCGTGATGCTATATGCCCAGATGAAATCATCAAACTCCCGAAGCGGGTGATTAGACGTTTTTTCGAAAGGAGATCAGTACGCACACAATACAGTTTCGTTCGAGATAAGAAGATTTACAGTTTGGATAAATCATCTGTTTGTGGAATAGGAGGGGAGATATCGGAGCCGGGTGCACTTATCCCAATATGCGCCTTGAAAATGATCTGTCTCGGTGATGAATGGCAAGTGATCTTAGAGGCGCCAAAATGCCCTCGCGTCTCTACAATACTAAGAGACGGTAAAGGTGGAAGATATGATAGTATTCTTGGCTGGAAACGTGTTTGATTGGCGGTTGAGAATTGAGCTATGCACTAACCGGAATTTCCTGTTTACAGTAGTCTTATTATTACGATCAGGCTGAAATTTTAGCTTTAGAAATAATTTCCTCTCTCGATCTTTCGTCATTGTGGATGTGTCAGACACCCAGCACCGGTATCTGTTACTAGAGAAATTGGAACTGAAATGCATGGAACTTGCTCTATACGGTACCGTAACAGATCTACTTCTGAAACTATCGTGAATGTCCAAGTGACTAAGGGTTTAGCTGGTCTTTTTGAGTTCCTTGATTCTAGAATTCATCGTTCGAGTACAATGAAGTGTAATTGACCGATTGACCATTTACTGTAAACGCTTCTTTCCACTTGGTCACTTGTTTTACTTTTTTGTACGGTCTTTTTTGGAGGCCATGTAGCAATTTAAGGGCTATTTGTTAACAGCCGTAGGGCAGCTTATCTCGCAGGCTACAGTAGGTTTCTCGACCTATTGCGAGAACACAGTGAGCTATCTACGCTTTCGTGATGTGACCCACATAGCGAGAATGGTCCAGATCCTAGTGTCATATAGCCAACACATCCTCGTGTGCGCAGTTGAGGCTGGTGAATTTATTCTGACACGGATATGGTTTTTTATATTCCCACGGCGCGTCTTGGGCGATATAGAGTATAAGAATCTTTCCAATTCTTCCACCAATACAGTACTGCGTTACGGACTTTATAGTATTCATAGTAGCTACGGTGAAACTGCTGTCATTGGAAAGGACCTGTAGAGCGCGGCTCACCAGTCTCGGTATTGTTCAAGTTTCCAGCTATTGCTTTTGGAGTTAAAACTGTGTATTGTACTTTATAGTTACAGTAAACATAAACTAATCTACTCACTGCTAAGGGCTTCAAGTAAACGTCTTAGTAGAGACATAGAACCTTCATGTTTTGACATCCTCACCGTATCTTCGTTTTCAAACACCGCCAGGAGACTCGAATCAGCCTTTGCTAATTTGTAGATATCTTGCCCGCCAATTTTGATAATAGCGTTTTCTAGCGAATCAGACAGACCTCGGGGAAACAGCAAAGGGAGGAGTCCCACAGAATCCTTCAATTCAAGAGACGTCAAATGTGACAGATCCAGAGTGATTGGGCCCGCAGGATGGACATCATATGAAAAGCTTGAGTATATTGCCTTGAACTCTTCGAGATATTTTCCTAAGTTAGATAAAGCAGAGTGAAGTCTCGCTCCAATGACAGAGCAAACCATTGAGAGAAATTTCAGGGATTCTGGGGAGCCAAGCAATATCAGGTTGTCAGATTCCAAGCATGCCACCTCAAGACAAGACAGCTGGGGTAAATGTGTTAAGTCAACAAGGGCTATAGTGTCGTCTCTGAGGTCTGTGCGAGAATTGAAGTCGATGTAAAGGGATTTGAGAGTAGGTAAACTCGGTAGTACCAGTAACTCAGCACACGCGGCTCTGATATCAAGCTCTTGCAGCTGCCCAAATGAAGGAAAATGTATTCTGGAATCTGGATTTTCACCGCTTATGGATATCAACCGAGAGGAGTCCCAGGTAAATGAATACGAAGTCTCCTTGGGTGTGTCATTGTGGACTCCAAAGGCCTCAAGACTATATCATATTACGTCAGCATTTTCCTGCAGAATTAATTTTAGGAGATAGAACTATAACGTTAGAAGGGTAGTCTCGCATACCAGATGTGCTTAAATCCAGGCATTCGATTTAGGCGTCGTAACTGTTCGACTTCCGACTCGCATTCCCAGCAAGAGACGTGCATTTCTTGGATATAGGCTGACCAATCTTCCAACATGTTCAAAATATGGTCCGCCCGTAGCTCTTTACCATTTAAACACACAGGTACAAATGATTCAAACACAACCTCAATTGTAGAAAATAACCGTGCTACAACAATGTGCCGCAGTGTCTTCGAGGTGTTGAAAAGTGTCCAAATATCGCTGTCTGGCGCCTGAGACGTGTCAGTACTCTCCAAAATAGAGCTTTGTGGAGGTTGCTTACGCAGTCAATAATACTGAAAATGATTTCTAGAGGGAGTTTTAAGAGCATAATAATAGTCCGAAAGCGCTGTTGGTTTTTTTGAGCCTTTCACAAGTACTGTTAGGGTTCAGTCAACCATTCGCCTTTTTAATCAATGCGTTCGGGTCCTTGTAACTGAGGATGGCAGAACAGAGTTACTAAGACCTTCGTTGGTTGGAATGGCGCTCGCAGGTCTGTACTCAATGCTGTTTCTAAGTTCTCAAATTCCTTGCAGCGTCCGTCAAAATTGTTCTCCATTTTTTCCGAACCGCGAACGCTTGTCCTTTAACTGATGAACGGTTCCCGTTGAACGTGGGCTTTCGCACATTACATCTAATCACCCTGGCTGTTTCACCACCACCTATCCCACTCACGTTCAGTGTGTATCAGGAAAGCAGCCCTTGACGCTCACCAAAAGACGTTTGTCGTATTATCCCCTCTCGATGGTATTGCTACTGAACTCAAATAATGACTTCATCAACATAGTGCCGTGCAAAGGTGACGAATACAGAATAGTTTGACATAATTTTCACGAAAATTCCAAACATTTTAAAATCATACTGTACTAGATGACCATCTGCTCTTTGGTGTAAGCTCTAGAACCCCGTTTATAGTTTCACGTTCAGCTATCTGCAGCATTGCACTTTGAGCCGTGCGTCAAAAAATATAATCTTCTAAATCAGAGGCTTGAAATCTAGTCGGACCCAGGGCTTACCAATTATTCGTATACTCTCCGCTGACTATTCCCCGGGTCGCAGCTTTGGGCACCGCCGAAGCCCAAGAAACTTGGTTCCCCGTTCTCCAAATGCAACAGACCAAATACAGTCGTTCTCGAAATCGGCTTGACCGATATACACTCAATCACTCTTTTCTGGCCCCACTGCCAAGACCTTAACGCATGTTAATAATTGAGCGGCCCGCATTAGTTACAGTCTGAGTCGAAAACAGATTCCCTTTTGGACTCTCACGAATTGTTTCTCGAACCCTATCTTGAAACACACTAATCTATATTTGGCTTAGTCGTCGATCTCCTATTCTAAGAATAGATAGGCTTTTTTTACATGACGGCAGTGTGTCGTAAAATACTGTATTTGACAGGAAACATCTTTTTAACTGCAACTTCTGTGCCCCTCCTGCTGCCTAGCTAGAGAATGTCAAGGTCCCTGGCATGTCCCGATCTTCGCGAAGAGAACTGGCACAATATGGCACCGAGACTCTCCCTGTCAAAGCTACTTTCCTTCGTAATATGATACGGAGCCAGGCACTAATCACGTCTCAAATGGCTGATGTAGCTGAATGCAGCGACCGTACAATTAAAAACGTTCGCAGGAACTTACGGCTCTTTGGTAGCGTCCACGCCCCTGCAAATCGTATTGGTAGGAGACGAAGCATAACACCGCCGATGCTAGAAGCACTCTGCCACCATCTACTCGAAAAGCCCGGTCTCTACCTCGATGAGATGGTCGTCTTTCTATGGAATGAATTCTACACACTAGCAACAACATCTAGCCTCAGGAGGGTTCTCGCTTCCCGAGCGTGGTCCAAGAAGACAGCTCGACAGAGGGCCAAAGAGCAAAACGCAGAATTACGAGAGTTTTATGTTCATAATTTGTCAGACTTTTAATCATACCACCTTGTTTACGTTGATGAATCTGGGTGTGATAAACGGATCTGGTTCAGACGGATAGGCTAGTCACCACTGGCGTGACCCCTGTGCAGGTATCACAGTTCCACCGCGATGAGCGGTATCAGATATTGCCTACATATGCCCAGGATGGGATCGTCCTCTCGCGTGACTTCCGCGGCTCTACGGTTTCAGCTTGGTTCGAGGACTTTATCGATCAGCTTCTTCAGCACTGTGTAAAGTGGCCGGAGCCGAAATTCGTACTGATTATGGACAATGCGTCATTTCACTATACTGAGCGGATTGGGCAGATGTGTGCCGCCGCAGGAGTAAAACTGGTTTATCTGCCGCCGTACTCACCGGACCTGAACCCCATTGAAGAATTTTTCGCCGAACTCAAGGCCTTCATTAAACGTAACTGGAACTACTATGAAGAAGACCCCGACAGCGACATCCATTCAGACTTCATAAGGCTGCTGTTTGGCATTCCTCATTGCCTAAACAATCAGCTGGAACTATCTTGGCTGTTCTAAGCTGCGTTTCTGGTCGTAAACTTGGGTGCCAATTGGCCCATGGAGTCTTCACAGGTACCCCCGTCGGTCTTAGACCTTATATATTGCGGGATAATAGTCCAGAAGCTTTGGGTCGATCGAAAAAAGCCTTCGTTTACGGAAATTATGATATATATTTGATATAAATGGGGAAGTAGTGGATGTTCTTAAAAGTGACACGCAAGACTTTCAATAGTGGACAAGGCCTGGGAATATTGATAAGCCATTATTGTACTCTTGCGCTATCGCCGTTGCTGGTTGCTACGAAGCCTCGAAAGAAGACGACATTGGGAGTTGGCTGGCATTGGTTGTCGACATCCTTCATAAGACTCTGACTGGTGCGATAAAATATAGTGCGTATTCTGCTATCCAATCACAGGTACATCCTAGAATGACTTCGGTGTGTGTTCAGCCATGAATGCCCAGTACTGGACGTATATGAAGACGGTAAAGATACAAATCCGTTAGCGAACGGCCGAGCTTTAAACACTAGTGTGGTAGATAAGAGTTGTAACGCGCAATACTGTGGAGTCATTCACGCATTTCATAAAAGCCATCAATAATGACAAAATGATGGTGAATAGGATTGAAAATCTCGAGTCAATTAAATCCAGTTAAAACGTCCTAAAGTTCAAATCCACTCTCTGTGATTGACCTCATAAGCTGCAGGTTCCACTGCGCCGTAGGAGAAGCCTGGGAATTTATTAGATGTAACTGACTCCCATTTTCATCGACTGCAAGAACCAAGCTGCCAGAATACGAGTTTGACAACTTCCAAGCTCCATTTCCTTGGCTTATAACATGCCATTGTTGTCCAGAGAAGTTACCAGCCGCGGCCAGATGCGGCCGTGTTTTGTCGTCACCATAAACGTCCAAGAACATCTTGGTTCCAAGCCACATAGTGCAGAGATTGTAGGCTCCAGGGCTGGTTTTGGATGGACGAAACTGCCAATACTGACCACTGAAGTTTCCATCTGCGGCCATTTGCACCCTACCATCGTGTTGCTGATTTCCGTCATTGACAACGTCAAGCGCCATGCCAGGCTTCGTTGCATTCTTAATTTTGTACCATGATTTGCCGTCCATAGATCCCGATTCCGCTGTTGCTGGGGCCCCTTTTGGTGGCAAAGGTTTGGTAACGCGTAAACCAATGTACGGTTGATGGTTGTTTGGTAGCGGAGTCTTGACACCAAACGGCAACTTCATGTGGCGGTGGTATGTGACGATTCCAGCTTTGACTCCTAATCCATCAATCTCCCATTCCCCAGAGCGCTTATTTTGCAATAAATCGGTCAAATATTTCGTCGCCTGATTGACGACATCATCGGAGACATCTCTCAAACTTTGTTGAAACTTCTGCAGTTGAGCTTCGGTCTGCTGGGATACCCATATCGCGACAGAGCCAGTGGGAATAAAGGCGGATATAATAAGCTCAACTACATCCCATTCATTGATAAGATCTCCCCAAGCAATACTCCAACCACCGGCTGCGACTTCAGCGCGTCGGTCATTGCGGTCGGTAACTTCCGTCATGTTGGCCTTCAGTAGAAGAACAAAAGTTGAAAGTGTTCAATAATAAAGTCGCAGCTAATCTCAGAAATTGGAAGAAGGTTATTTCGAGCGATCTACCTGAAGCAAACAAGCTTTTATAGACAAAATTAATAGACTTTTAGTAAATAAGTACGACATCACAGTAAGGGCAATCTAAAATAGTGTACTTTGTCATGCATCATTCTGAGAAAATTGCCGTCAAAAATCCAGATCATAATGATTTCATGTTCAAAGCGGCGTCAGATCGATCCTTCTGGGCCATCATATACTGACCAATAAAGGTGACGAAGATATCACCAACATGTGATTGATTGAAAAGTAAGACGCTGTATGGCATTTTCACTGGCGTTGACGATAGCGTGGTCTAGGAAAGCAAACGCTACCTTGGTAAAGCTATGCTGTTTAGTTTTTGTTTAGCGGTAGAAGTCTCCGAGTAAAATATAGTTACGACAGACCGGACGAGACCATGTTAAGTCATAAAAATATTTCCAAGGTACTTCCAAGCTGCCAATATTAGATCACAAGATGAGACGAAAACAGCATATATTCTGCTTCGACCAGGGCACGGTCGCCGCGTTCTCCGTGAAATTCTTGGCTATATATCCAACAATAACCAACGCGGCGTTACAGTAGTGTCCATCAGCATGATATGATTGGTTATTTCAGAGCCGGCTTCCAATTTCCAACTTTAGATTAACGGATGAAATGCTAAATTTAGTAAAAAGTAAAGAAGGGTAGTAGGGGAAAAAAAGAATCTGTTCATTAGCGTGGTCGGCTGCCCCCCTCTCTCTCTCATTTTCACCTATTTCCACTTCTTTTTTTTTTTTTGGTGTTCCGACCGATGCGCGCGGCGTCTCTTCTTCGCTTCGGGCGACGGAGCGCTAGGGGCGGGAGCACGCACGGGGGCGAATCAGCGACGGAAGAATTGGAATGAGCCCTGATCCGAATTGCCACTAGAGAGAGTATAGGTTCTTGGCGGGCGGGTCATAGCGAGGCCTAGGTTGTAGCTTATTCTCACGTGGGCCAAATTCCTACCTTGATCATGCCAGGCGTTTTAAAATTAATTCACAAATGGCTGTCGCGTCGAAAAGTCTACTAAGGACAGGTGATGATTATTGAGTCAACCGTTTGTTCCTTCCAACTTCTTCCGATAAGATAGCTGCAAACGGAAAAATAGAACACTGAGCCTTACCTAACCAATCATACTCTTGTATACCTGTAAAGACTTCTAGTGGAGAAAGGAAGTTGTTTTTTGGTTGGTGGGGGGACTTTAGTCGTGGTTTTGTCAACTCTGTTGTATGTGACGAATGGTAAGGCGGTGGATAATGCGGAGGGGTCTGCACCGGGATTCTGTCGGCAGATACTTAAGCTTAAGCTTCCACCTCCACGGGGAAGTCTCCTTTTTCCTTTCTTTCCTTAGCTTTAGTTGCTTCGTTGAATGGTCCAGCATATTTGCAAATCTTGCTCTTGACCTCGTTACAAACTCTAAACAACATATAACGAATGGGCGCCGGATAGAGACTAACTACCCGCATAATTTAACTTTATAAAATCGAGGTCTAGATTCTGTCATCGAGAATGACATTAAATAGAAATACTTTGACGTAGCTATTACCTGTATTCCAAGCAATCATGCCTCTTGGTAGCAAATGAGATTAACGAGCCGTATACATGTGACATACAATAAATCTGGAGCACTTCTCTTTGAGTTCTTTGGACCATAGATGGAGACTCTTTTTTTCTGATCATGCCGCTTGACTCGACTAATATTTAAACGCCCTCTACGGCCCAAATTCGTGTGGGATTTCTGACCTGGCTTGTTCTTAACAACCGGAAGGAGTCAAATCCCGGAATACACTGTATTAACTTCCAACTATGCGCATCACGATTGTCTTTGGCCTGTTTGCAGTAACTGAATTTGTTGCTGCAGTCGGACCATGCTTTTGTTGTGACTTCCCCTATGGAGCCACTTCTGGCAAGAAAGTATTTGCTGGGGGATTTGAAAATTGCATAGACATGAAAGGTAAGTTAAATGAAAGACGTGCTAATCTATAAATGACTAAAATCAGTTCTAATAGGGTGCAAGCCTTCTTCATGCGACCGGAGTTATGTTTTCTGTCCAGCAGGATCTATTGTGAGCTCTCATTTACTACTTGACGATAGTATAGATACATTGGAACTGATATATGAATCAGGATGCCATTGATCTCCCTGCTTACGTATTTTGTACATTTGACAATGGACAGCAGCCTGGCCCAGCGTAACCTTCATTTCACAATAAGCTTCGGACATTTGCCTTCGCGAATAAAATTGCAATGCGGATGCAGTTAACAATGTATCTATGAGGAATACCATAACAGCTATAGTCATCTCAACATGAAAAACAACTCTTTCTTGGCAAAAACGTATTCTTGAAATATCTTGATAACCAAAGGCCCTACGGCTCTGAGAAATTGTTCAAATTTTAAGTGAGGGCGAGCGCTATCGTTCGACACCAATTTTATTGGGAAGAATGACAGCGATCGTCGCCACGGGTGCAAATGCACACAAACTGCCTCCCTAAAGGGGGTCCGGGGGGAGAACACCAAAATCAACAGCACCCCTCGCCAACATGGACGAAATCGCCCAGGTCGCGCAGGTGGTGCTCCAGCACATCAGAATGACGCGCGAAATCCGGGTTGATGACTATATTACTGGCTTCATTAACCAGGTCCGCCAGTACGCACTCAGCGCCAGGCGACGCGTTCGCAATGGCCAAGGTCATGTCAAGAATTGGAATTCCTACAGATCACATACAGGAACTTTACCCCTCATCAATTTTTCCTATTTCGTATTAGTCAGTTATTAGCTACTTCGCCCCTTAAATTGTTGGGCATTCCCAGATTTATCTGAATCAGAGATTTATTTTCTTCGTAATTTGCACTTCCATGTGGGACCGTCGTACGTCTAGATTTTGACAGCTATTTTAATTTTCAATAATCCAGGCGTTCTAAAGGAGCGCAAAATCGGGCGAAAAGCTGCTGGTTAAACAAGGCCTTCACGACATTATCTGCATTCAGTTTTTGATCCCAAAGGATAGGGTTTTCCGCTTTCCAACCAACATAGCAGTACCCGCCTCCAAATGTCAGGCCCTCACCGCTCTCGCTGGTGAGGGCCTTCCACAGTCTAATCATATTTCAGTCTAATGATAATTTTCCTTGAAATCTGAAATCGAAGATAGATACATCTTTTGCAAAACAGACATAGTCGATGGAGAGGCCTTCCTCCAGTGGGAAACGCCTATGACTCAAGGCGCCATGTCTGCACGATTGAGAAGTCTCGGCGAAATTCATGGATGGCTCCATTCGATGTTTGCACACCGTTTCCGCTATGGTGGAGGAAAGATGTTGAATGAAAGCGACACGGTCAGTGAAGCACAGCAAAATTTGATCATGAAGCACGCCAATATCCAAACTTTCTTGAATCACTACCTTCCACGACACATTGATACCGATATGCAAAATGTCATGAACGGCCGCGCATCTAATAAAAACCTGATGCGCGCGATCACCCGAATGAGCAGGTGGATCGACAAGAGACGACCTCGACATTTGACACTTGAACAGCGAGCATCCCTTCGTGTGCATCCAGAGTATATGGAAGCCACGCGGAGGATGAAAGAGCATGCAAAAACCTGCAAGCTTGATGCCAGCGCTCAAATGCTGGCACGTTTAGACAAATTGACGCGCGAAAGGGCCAACACATTCAGTCGACTAGAAAGGATTCTGCGAAAGGAGACACGAATGGAGTTTGATCGAAAACAGGCTGTCAGGGACATCGAGCGTCAGTTATCTGGAACGGCAGTTGACGATGAGGAGGCAAAGGAGGTACTCCGGAAAGAGGACCAAATGTTACCAGAGCAAATATTTCTCCTCGAGAAATTGTTCACCTGGCCAATCTCACACTCTTTAGAGACCGAGTGGCAACGTCGAAACGATGCTGTGGCTGCGATCTCACAATACTGTCCTGTTCTCGAAGGTGGGCCATTGCGTGGGCGACGCAAACAGGCGGCGCCATGCGATGGATTCGATGAACAACAGACAACAATGACAGTACAGCCAACTAAGATAATCTGCAGCTCTCCCGAGCCTTCACAGCAAGCTATTACTTTGAGCAAAGCCGAGAAATATATCAGGAAAGCAAAAAAGCCTCGACGATGTTTTCAATGTTATGGCAACACCCTGCTTCCAACTCATCGTCGAACGCAGAAATATAGCGAATATAAGTCAACGGTGAGACACTTTCGAGAGAAGCACTTGAAGGATCGAAGATGTCATATGTGTGACGAAGATCTACTACATGAGATGCATCTTCGCAGACATGCAGAAGATGTTCATCGTCTTAGCACTGAACGAAATTACCACACCAAAGAAGAAGCGGGATCGGACATTGATACCGATTGACTTTGGGCATGCTAAAAAAACATATCAGGACGGCGGAGAAACCGCAAAGGTGTTTTCCATGTTATGGCAATACCAAGCTCCCAGTCCATGGCCGAGCGAAGGAATGGAGCGAGTACAAGTCAACTTTGAGACATTTTCGAGAGAAGCATTTGGACGATCGGGAATGTTACATGTGTGGCGAGGATCTCTTACATGAGATGCACCTTCGGAGACGTGCACAAGATGTTCATCGTCTTGTCACGCAACGCAGTTGTTGCTCAGTGATGACCAAGGCGCAGAGGGCTTGAACTTTGCAATGAGGGCTAGTAGATTTGTTCTGAGATTTGCTCGACTGTGGTTCATATAAAAGAGAAATAAAAGCTTCTTACAGTACTCTCGTCTTCTCTTTCTTGTCTTCGTTCATCTCTAACCTGCTTGGCCAGGGCAACTCAAGCACCCATGACCCCAGCGAACCAAACAGTTGGGACCGGGAGGGGGGATTTTCTTACGGTCTAAATTATTGAGGGGAACCGTGGCCTGTCGCCCGAGAGAAGTCGTCAGGAGACGAGAGTTTGCATCCGATAGAGCCACAATTAACTTAGATCGCATGCGAACATTATTCGCCCGACGATACGTGCCACGGTTTTCCTGTCGCTTAGCTAATCCAAGTGTCTCTTGCGAACCCGTCCGGCGTGCGTTGGCCATGTTCCTGCGATGTGCCATTGGTTTCCCCTCTCTTAGCTAATCCGGGTGTCACTTGCAAGACCATCGGGCTTGTGTTTATTTCTTACCGTAAGCCATAATTTCCCTGACATATTCTCCTGTAATGCAAAGGGTCACAAAGAAGAACCCAGGATTGACAGTCTCGTGAGCAGAGCTACGATAGTAATGATTTCCCCTTTGACATTAGCATATTGAAATATGTGTTTTAGCCCAGTTTAGCTAAGCGTTGGAAAAACCGTGGCGCCTCGCATTAAATGAATACAAGTATATAATCTCGCGAGAAGAGCTATAAATAGCAATGGCTTTGCCCTTAACGCCATCAGATTCAACCCATGAACGATGACATCTAGCCAATCAGGTCGGCAATCCGGCCGGGTCGATAGTTGAATGGCACGTAAATCGGTCTAGTAAGAATAAATGTATGTCGTGTTCTATCTCTTCTTCGGGTATCTCATAAAGAGCTAGGTCGTGATATTCATCATCTGCGATCTTTGAAAGGCCAAGGCTAGTTAGGAGTTCAGGCCTACTAGTCAAGAAGATCCGAAGGCGAACCGCTTTTGCCTTCTGTAGAAGAGGCAGTAATCGAATTATGTTTCGGACATCTTGATCATGTTCACATTCGTCCAAAGCGTCGATCACTATCACAGCGGTTTGAGGTTGTCGGCCGAGTTGGTCAAGATTGAGTAGCGGTTGAAGGAGAAGTTTCTCAAACTGCTCTCTAAGCGATTTTGACGCAATCTCAGGGTCATGATCGAGTGCCTTTTGCACGCCAGACCCCAGCCCAGAGATCCCGAGCATCAGTTGCCTTGTTAGTGTTGGGAAAAATTTCTTCGCGTTCGCTCGGTCCCCTTCACCAATTGTACGGTCGCTGCATTCAGCTGCATCAGCCATTTGAGACGTGGCTAGTGACTGGCTCTGTATCATATCACGGATCAAGTGTAGCTTTGAGAGGGGCAGTCTCGGTGCCATATTGTGCAAGTTCCCTTCGCGACTCTCCAAATATTCAGATGGAGGAATGTCTGGGACCTGCAAATTCGACAGCTAGGCAGCAGCAGGGGAACAAAAGATGTTGCCTGTCAAGTACAGTATTTTACGCCACCTTGCCGTCATGTAAAATAAGACCTCTATTCTTAGAAGAGAAAGATTGACAGCTAAGCCAAATATATATTAGCGTGTTTCAAGATAGGGTTCGAGAAACAATTCGTGAGTGTATGAAGGGGAATCTGTTTTCGACTCCGACTGTATCCAGTCCACCCAACCCCTTTCTGAGCCATGCGCCCAGAACGGCCACGATGAGATCCTCCGCGAAATTCAATCCTTGCGCGTTGCAATCAGTCCTGCAGACCTCACCACGCGATCTCCGTCCTATGCAGATGTTGCCCGCACACCCCCAACCAGTTACCCGAGCAACATACGAACGCTCTCATCGTCGAACACAACGCCGACCACCTTCACTGACACGTTGTATTGCACGATAGACACCTCGAAGATGGTCAACAATGAAAATGAAAAGATGTCCGCAGGTCCGATCCGGGCGGCGGTTGAAACAGAGATCCGGAGGATGGAAGAGCATACGCACTGGCGCTGTCGCGCCGTCACGGTGGATCCGAAAAACACCCACCGGATCCGAATAGCATGTCGCGATGAAGCCGAACACCAGCTGGTCAAGCAAGTGGCAGAAGCGAAGATCGGCGTAGGAGCCCGGGTGTTACGTGACGAGCTGTACCCGATCAAAGTCGACAGTGTCAACAAGGCTGTAGTTCTGGACGAAAAAGATGAGATCCGAGCTGGAGCCACCGCGGCCTTCAGCGAGGAGAACGAAGTCACCGTTGCTAAGATCGCGTGGCTCAGCAGAAAGGAGAGCGCAAAGGCCTACGGGTCGATGGTTGTTTACCTGACCAGAGGCACTGATGCGCGGAGGCTCCTGGCCGACGGGTTCTTCCACGCCGGGGGAGAATCCGGCGTGACTAGCACCTTTGAACATCGCCCACGACCGACGCAATGTTACAATTGTCAGGAGATTGGACATAAGGCATTCCAGTGTAAGAACATCCAGAAGTGTGCAAGATGCGCCGCGGAGGGCCATCGCCACAGCGACTGCAACCAAACGGTTATAAAGTGCGTTCCGTGTGGAGGCCCGCATGAATCGTATAGCAAGAACTGCCGGAAGCTCTATCCGTCGCGTCATGAGTAAAACCTTCCGTATCATCCAACTGAACGTGAGAAAACAGGGCGCGGTGCATGACAGCTTGATGAATGACGAACAAACTCGAGACGCAGCGGTGTTAGCGATCCAAGAACCCCAAGCGAGGAGAATTCACGGCAGGCTTTTGACGACCCCGATGGGACATCACAAGTGGACGAAGATGGTTCCTTCCACCTGGAGGGAAGGCAGATGGGCGATCCGAAGCATGCTTTGGGTCAATAAAGATATAGAAGCGGAGCAAGTGGCTGTAGAATCCCCGGATCTGACGGCGGCGGTCATCCGGCTCCCCGAGCGACTGATTTTTATGGCATCAGTTTACGTCGAGGGGTGAAATGCCTCGGCGTTGGACGACGCGTGCGATCACCTGAGAAAGGCAGTCGCAAAGGTGCGGCGAGACACGGGCGCTGTGGTGGAGGTCATGGTTGTGGGAGACTTTAACCGCCATGATCAACTCTGGGGAGGAGACGAGATGTCCCTGGGAAGACAGGGCGAAGCGGATCCAATCATTGACCTCATGAACGAATTTGCTCTTAGTAGCTTACTCAAACGAGGTACAAAGACATGGCACGGCGGTGGACAGAGCGGGGACTGCGAGTCGACCATCGACCTCGTCCTAGCCTCTGATAATTTGACAGACTCAATGATCAAGTGTGCGATACATGGGACAGAGCACGGCTCTGATCACCGTGCCATTGAGACTGTGTTCGATGCACCGTGGTCAGCCCCGAAGCATCAGGAACGACTTCTGCTGAAGAACGCACCATGGAAAGAGATCAATGCCAGAATCGCGAGTACTCTGACCGCCACTCCGTCGGGAGGCACGGTGCAGCAGAAGACGGACCGACTCATGACGGCGGTTAGCGAGGCGGTGCAGGCTTTGACTCATTTTCCTTTCAACAACAAGACTAGCGTCATCCATGTGACGGATGTTGGAACCTAGGGGGCTTGCTCCTAGGAACCTTCGTAGCAAATGAAGGGTGGGGTCTGTTGAATTAACCGATTGACCTTTTAACATCCGGGGTAGTTCCCCTTGCTCTTTTTTTGGCTTTTTCATTTTTTTGATTACATACATGCTCTGAGAATCTATCAGGTTGATCAAAGTCCGGGGTTTTGAATGTCAGATCTAAATACGAAGTCAAACAGGCTCCTACCTTTTGCATGCCAAGATTGGAGGGAAGAGTGATGAGGCGTCATATCATCTCCACATTTGGCACAGAATGAATCGGAATAGTGAATGTCGACTTATGCAGATCCAACATAGACAACCAACACAGCAGTATAGGCCCCAACTATCCCAAGCAAATCTGTTGTTCTCGGCCTGAAAATAACCATAGCAGCTGTAGAAAACCCAATCACGCAAAGGCAAACCGTCAACACGCGATATGGCATCGGCGGATCGACCAAGGAAAGAATGACCATCGGCGTCAACAGGGTCATGCCTCCGGTAATAGCGATGATAATCCTTGCAATGAACGCAGCGAGTGGACGATAACGCTTCAAGCCATGAGCAATACCCACGATATCCCCTTCATCGTGACGGTCAGCAAGGAGCCCAACAATTTTACGTGACAGGTTCTTCAACTTACAAAGGTCAGTCTCTCTCTTGAGCCTGAGCGAAAGCACAGACACCACGAAAATGACTGGAAATATCAAGAAATATACGACGATAGTCATAAACTTCACAGCGCTATCGAGGTTCTGCTCCGCAAAGAACGGGTTATATTCTCTTTTCTCGTTCACGATGCGATCGATTTCTCGAGCGTTCTGAACCGCAGAATCTTTCCCAAAATTAGTAACGGTGTAAATAAGAATGGAGTGGTAAAAATCGTTCAACTCACAATACTCTTGTAGTGTTTGTCTCATGTGGCAGAGCTGGGCATCGTCTAGCACACCTCCGTTCTGCTCGAGGACCTTCTCCATATTCTCCAGATCACGACCGTAATAAGCGATACTCAGGTTCGCCAGCCGGCTAAAGGACTCGACAGATAGCAGATCACAGGTCTTCTCGCTGCGTTTCCTTTCGGGCGAAAATCGGTCCGCGTTGTTGCTTCTTTGGAAGTCCTCGTCGGGGGCTGCTGGAGTGCCGTCTTGATTGACCTTCGGCCACGATGGAGGTGGCTCATTCGAACCCTCTGCGGAAGGGCTGTTCTTCTCATTGATCAAGTCTGCAGGTTGGGACTCGACGTCAACAATGGTATCCCCTGGCTGAAGTGTTGATGTGCCATCCATCGCGACTCCAGTCAGGGGAGAGTTATGGCGGTGTAGATCAATGTGCGTCGGGAGCCAATAAGAGATCTCTGCAGATGAATCTTTTGTCGCCCAAGTCTTTGTCAAGTCTCAAAGCAGGGTATCGATGATCTAGGTTTTGCATGCCAGCTCGTAGATTTGTGAGGACATTGACAGAGAGAACGAGGCGTGCGGCGCAGGCGATCAGATCGGTCAAAGCCGCGCGCTAATAAACAATTCGTTTGAGACGATCGGTATCTATTCAGCCCGCAGCACGCTAAACCCATCTCACTATAGTTGTCCTGTACTGTATTTACACTTCTCAGCTTACAGTAGTCCGACTTTACAGTGGTGTTGCAAAAGTCTGCGTCCCTAATTTTACCGCCTTTATTCTGCCACCCCTTTTAGATAATATTCTGCCGCCCTAAAAACTCTCTATAATTTGCACATTCTAGCTAATAACTAGTATACCAGCCCTCTGCCTCAATAATTGCCTGTACCCTATGCGGCATAGTCTCTGAGAGGTGCCTCATAATGTCTAGATCTAATACACTCCATGATTCCTGCGCGCAATCGATCATATACGCGTGTGTCGCGTCATTATTTGGCATAGCCTTTAGTTCAGGATGTAGCTTATAAAGCTTGTCTTTTGAGAGCGCCCATAGATTCTCAATAGGGCTAAGATCTGGTGATCTAGCTGGCCACTCCATAACTTCGATACCTAGTTCATCAAGAGCCTCGCGTACGACGTACGCAGTATGTGTTGATGCATTATCATGCTGAAAAATGGCGTCTTGATTTGCAAGCAAAGTAGGGAGTACCCGCATATATAAATCGCGAATAACAAAGCGATCAATACCTCCGCGGGCGGATTCTGGATTTCCAAATAGAGGAATAAGGCCGGTACGTCGTGTAGAGCCAGAAAATGCAGCCCAAAACATCTGCTTGATTTGCTTCCCCTTTGTCGGCAATCCACGTACATCACGCTCCGGAATTTGATCTTTTGGGCGGTTAAAGGTATATTCTCGCCTTTCCCCTATACCTCGCTCAACTGTGCATTCATCAGACCAAAAAACGCGGTCAAATTCGCGAGGAGTATAGCCCGCATACATTTCAGCCTATTCGAGTCTCTTTTGCGCATGAAAGGGAGTTAAAGCAGGTCGATCAAGCACAAGCCACTTCCGTCTACCCTCTTCTGCTAGAAGGCGCCAAATTGAATGCCTCTTTACCTTATGATCGACAGTAGCGAGAAGGTCATCATAGGTAATGCGAGGATTATCGTCAATTGTAGTTAAAAGCTTCTCCTTATCCTCACTATCAAGCTTGCGAGGGCGCCCTGATCGCTGTATAGACTGATTATCTATACGCTTAGATTCCCTTGCGATAGTTGACTTAATAGTACTAATTGGAATCGAGCGATATTGTGCATGGATTTGCTTGTAGGTCCATCCTGCCACTTTTTTGAGCTCAACAAGCTTTGTACGCGTAAAGTAGTCGATTTCATGGTTCCGTCGACGGATAGGAGGGCGTACAGGAGACCTCCAAGCAGGGAGAGCGCGTTCACTACGCGTAGGAGGCATAATTAGGTAGGTAAACGCGTAGATTCGAAATATAGGTGAACGCAACGCGATTTAGGGAGGTTAGGCGGTCAGGCTAGTAGGGGGCGGTCAGAAAAGGCGGTAAAATTAGGGACGCAGACTTTTGCAACACCACTGTAGCCCCTATTTGTTCCGTTCCAGTTCTGTATAGAAAACCACTATCTTTTAGTGTGGTGGGGCTAGGCAGCGTGTAGCCACAAAAGCATAATCACTAATAGATTGCGCTTGATAGACAGGTGGCTACTTAGAGGACAATTATTAATTACCTTTGTGCACATGGCCTGCCTTCCCGGAAATCGACATGGAATAGCTGACCACCCCATGGCTCTCATGTAATGGAGATTCCCCCGTCATGTCAATGGAGCAATTTAACTGAGTTTTTGCATTTGTCGTTGATGAAAATCACCGACTGTTCCCCCTCGCCCCACGGGAGAGTCTCGAGGTACCTCGCGGGGAGTGGAGGGTTGAGGGGATCATCGATTGATTGTGGTCCGACTTCCCGGAGGTATCGAATTTTCCCCGGGACATTTCGCGGAGCTTCGCTCCGCTACGTTATCCTTGCCTGCGGCATCGTTGGAGATAAATCTCGATGCTTCTTTCGCTCCTGAACTCACAAAACAAATGACTTCCTAAAAGAAATAATCGGGACGACCCTCGGGCCTGCGATATACTATACAAATCAGGCAGATGAATTTAATAGCCATAATCACGCTCCTCACTGACTTCATCAGTTCACGTAACCTCGCGCAGGTTAACCTGCCTCCTGCTTACCCCATCCTCAGTTCCACCCATCCTCAGTTTCCCCAATCATCAGCCCCTTGTCATATACACAGCCACCCTCAGGGAGAGTCAACTTGGACATAAATATCTCTGTTTCCCCCGGTATCAGGAACTTCTCTTCTAGTAGTTATCCTTCCTCACTATAGATCATCTGGGGATTTCGGGCTACTTGGAGGTATTATCTGCAAGTTGTAACGGGCCAGGTCCCGATGTCTGTCTCGTATAGGCACGCGCGTCCCCCAAGAGCCAGCTAATCAGTAGCGCTCAAGCGGACTATATAGGCGCCCGGCCGGCTTAGAAAACGGACTATATAAATCGCCCGGTTGGCTGGAGTAGTATATCTACGCCGCATCGCCCTGATCCCTTTCTTTTCTGTGAGCTTTTGGTAAATAGTTCGTGTCCTAGCTAGATTGAATCAAGTCTCGCTTTAGCCCTTCACATTGGCAAAGTATAGTGAATATATTTAACCTTGTTCAGATTACAAACGACCTCCGTGTAGTTTTCATCCTGATCCTTAGACTAATCCATCTTTTCTGTGTCATTGTTTGGATTTGCCTCTATTGTGCTTAGAAGCTCCTTCAGACTAAGTTGAATCACATGGGTCATGCAAGGTATCCGGATAATAGGGGTCTGATTATGGAACTCGAGTGACTAAAGAGACTCCTAGATATTATCCATCAAGGTCGTATTGTTAGGCCCGTTCTGAGATCTACTCACTGAGTAGGAAGCTGAGCGCCCTCACGAAATCGGCCGTAGCCCGGATAGGCGAGGCCCCACCGCCAGACATTATCCTGTGTATATAGGTGCATACAGATCACCGTTCATATTGCCCTGCATATCCAATGTTGAACAGAGTTGGTGAGTCTAGACTCGTGTGATGCCATCCCGCAGCTGCACCACCGTCGATGCAACCTCTGGTAAACAGAGGAGTAGCACCTAAAACGGCTCACATCAGGTAAACTTGGCTGATCCTTTGTTCGCCATTTATTGTGTTCACTGCAACATTGCTGCAGTTTTATCACACGAGACAAGTCAGAAGTTCACCTGAGCCTGGCTGAGTTCACCTCCACCGTGGTAGTTTCATCCCTGCCCTTCAACATTGGCTATCTACGCTACAAGATTGCAGTTCACACCGGTCTGGCCGTTAACCTCCCTGGCATGTCAGATTCATTCCAGCCGTTCACCAGTGACTATCCGTACTCGCCACAGTTGAGTACGGACCCGGCCGAGTTCACCTGTGTGGCGTGCTGGATTTATCCCTGCCGTTGAACACTAACTATCGGCACTACAACGCCGCAGTTGGATCACCCCATTTTCTACCGTGTTGGATTCATCTATACCGGTCACAAGTTACTATCAGTACTGCAGCACTGCAGTTGAATCAACCCATTCTAGTCGAGTTCACCTCTGTAGTCATTACGGTTTTGACATACAGCTAGTAATGAGGATGCTAAATGGACGACTACATACGTTTGTCACTAAACCCGCCCCCGGGAGGATGACCTTGTAAGTAAGGTCGTGATCACATCCTTCGCTAATGCACAATCTAGGGCGGCCCAGGGCTGACCAGTCATTATCAAGCACTCCACTGGCTATCCCCCAGCCCCAGCGATGGGCAGCGCCGATGTGCTGGAAAATTGGGCTCCGTTCTCCAAATGTAGATCACTGTACGCCCAGCCAACACCACGTTGATAACTGAAAAGAGTAGAAGGGCGAATAAGAATGACATCTCTTTCCCGCAGCTGCGACTTCCTTCTCTACAGGAGATGGTTTTTGGTACAGTATCCCTGTATCTTTTGATAGCCCTCACCATTAGATAAGTTTCTAATACGAAAAGAAGCTCGCCACCGATGCCTGAGCTACATGGACGAAGAATATTCCCTTTCCTTAGTAAATTCCAAAGTATTAAATACGCTCTTCTGTTCAACATTGACCGCAGTTTTTGTTCACGTTTGACTGTATCCACTATGTTCTAGATGCAGTTGGCATCACAAGATCTATCTAAGTTCACCTGGCTGGGGCTGTGTTGGATACTGCTCTTCCGTTCAACACGGGTCGTATCTATTTCAAGATGCAGCAGTTAGGGCCAATTACGTGCCTAGCCAAGTTAACCTAAGCACGACCCTAGTTAAATATTTTCTGTTCACTAGGTTGCCGATAATGATGGCCATTGCATTTCCTCTGCAGGGGCGGCGGCCCCTACTGAAAAAAAAGGTCAACTGCTCATGTCTCTCTAGATATCGGTTAAACTAACATTCAAGACGTTTGTGTTCAATATGCTGGGCCTATGACAACTCCAGCGCACAGACGTTTTGCCTAACGGAAACAACCCGGTTCAGTAAATCAGAAACGAACTAGATTACTTACATGTGCCTGGCTTAGTCCACTGTTGAACTTCAATAAATAGCACAATAATTTCTATATTTCATTCTGAGCGCAAAATACGGTTGGGCAACACGCATGAATGGTTGAGAGGAGAAGAAAGTTGCGTTGAACGCCGCTAACAAAGGCAAACACATTTTGGGCGTAGTGCGAGCGGGCTACTTCGAGGCAGATCGCTCAAATGGCATTACCCCCTGCAGCATTAAGTGGGGTCCCTGCCGAAAGGTATAGTAGCTATAGAAAATAGCATTGATGGAATCGTTGGAAAGACTCATATGCTCTATATCGCCCAAGACACGCCGTGAGTTGTCAAAAAGCCATAATCCTGTCAGACGATACCCACTACTGTACCCACAAGCTTGCACATAAAGATGCGCTGGCTGCGTGGTACTGGACTCTGGATACATTCTCGGTATGTGACCCACAATCAAAAGCGTAAACTGCTCAATCGAAATAGATCAAGAAACCTACTGCGGCCGCTCGTCTGTAGTGGCGATGAGTATAGCGCCGGTCGTCTAGGACCTCAGTATTCCGGAATTGCGCAAGATTCTCCCCCTGAGTACCCTTTCGACGAGATCGCCCTCTTCACTAATCCGAGAGACGGTGAGCTCCGGTGCGAACGTTGCCACGGCCTCCGATCCCTATCTTATCACCGAAATCATTGGAGAGATCCAGTTGCTTATCCAGCTGTCGGCATCTGCTCACGGACGCGAACCCAATGTGTGGAGATAAAATTTAGCTATCGCCATTTACATGCGAGGCAACTTATGAACTACGAACTGCCGACCGATTGAATCGCAGAGATGAAACAGACAACTGCATTTGGAGACACGCGGTAGTTACCAAGCAATGTAACAACTGGTCATTGGCCAGTCAGAAGCAGGCCAATGACCCAGGCTCTCGGATCGCAGTTACGAGATGTCTGCTTTATATGGTCCGTGTAAGTTAGTGGACCTCTTTCTGGAGTATTTGTTATCCTTGTCGCTGCCACCGGCCGATATAGAGATATATATATCCATATGAGACTCTCGGAACAACTTAGCAAGCATCCGGACCAGAGATTTTCCTCTGTTTTAGAAAGCCAATTTGTGCCCGCACTTCGTTCTAAGGATTAAATAAACTACAAAACATTCGATAGACACGGAACAACACGTTCACTCGGCGATTTCGACACGTTAATAGTCGAGAAAATGCTCTTTCCTATTATGGGGGTTCAACTCATGACCCACCCTCGCGTCACCACTGATAAGGGGGTAGATAAGGCGATGAACTCGTAACTACCCATTCCACCCCTGCAAAGCCTTCAAATGAAGCTATACCAAAACAAGTTATATTTGCCAGCGTGTTACAGAAGATTAGACCCAACACCCTCCAGATCAAGGCCATACGTACATTTTTCAGACCATAGATACTGCAAATAGGAGGAGAAAAAGCATACGTTGCTCAGACACAATCCAGTAATCGCCATTTGTGTACAAGTGGTCATGCCCGTAGGAAGCCCCCTTGATCCCGCCCAGCTGTCATCTCACATTAGACAGCCCGCTCTCCTGAAGGAGAAAAAGTTCTCCATCTCGGTCGGTCTGCAAGCTCCGGATTTTTAGAATGAATGATTTCACGTTACCCGGGTTTCCAGAACGAAGCTTAACCACGGCGTAGAGCAGTGCTTGACGCAATGTGGCGCTATAAGATTTGCGCCTGCGATCACTGCTATGATCATAGATGCATCGACAACCTTTCGTTGTATAGTTCGCGCATGGAGTCGTACCAGAACACTAGTCCCTATTAGCACTGGGATAGAACGAATTCATTAGTTCTGACCTTGGTCTTTTTTCGGTGACACTCTGTACAAGCAAGAGAGACATTCCGTCGCTTTCGACATAATGAACGTGGTGTCTGCGGTTGGGAGAAAGAGCCTTTCTCGATCGGGCACAGCGGCCGCAGCGGCCGCAAGGAGGTTTTCGTTGTCATGGCTGGTAACTGAGACCCAAACACGTTGAAAAAATTTATTCAGTGCATGTGTCCAGGGGGAGGAGGTGGGGTGATGCGATGGAATTAAATGGCCAATTCGCAGTGCTCGTTCTCTTTGTTTGCTAGACCTTGGAGGCTTCATTGAGAGAAAGAGCCCGGAAGCCCGCGACCATTTTTGAGACCATGCAAAGTCCCGACCCCGACCCCAGCCTTAGCGATTGGAGTCTCCATAGCAAACAAAGAAACCCGGCGGTACTAAAATTTGACCTGCCAGCCTCGATGTTGGAGTCATGTGACTGGACGCTTCCATCCGTCTTGGCAGGGACGCGTGCTTTGACTGGACAACGTCTGTCAGCCTAATCACCTCAGTCTGTTTGAGGGATGGGATGTTGGTTTATTCACATCTTCTCGTTCCCCGAGGTGAACGTTTTCATAGCTTGAATGATGATACTACCCCGATTTCAGTATTCAAATTAGTGCATTGCTTGGTTTCTATTAGGTTTAAAACAAGGACTTAGTGGTGGTTTTGTTTTGTTTTGTGGCACTGGTCTGGACAGGTGAGAAATTATTAGCTATAGTGCTCGGCTGCCAGGAAAGAATCGTCTTTCGATAGGCATCTACGTCGTTCGGAACGACGACCCAAATCGTACTGGATGCCACGTGATGAGTACAAACAAACATAACCATCAGTGATGTTTGCATCACTAGGCTGATAAATAAGCCAACCAAGCTAGCGCCCAAGCCACCTCGTGGAGGTAAAGGCTGGTCTATCTATTGAGATCAAAGTGCCTCATAAGAGAAATAATTTCTGGGGAGTTGTCTCGGCCGGCCTATGTCTGCTGGGCAAAGCCAATCTGCGGACCGATAGAGTCGAAAACAACATACTGGCTTTTGAGGAAGATGTCACCGAAGATAGAGAAACCAATGCCGCTATTGCCCTGAATTCCGCTAAAGCAGGTAGTGCTGCCAGAGGAGACGGGCGCGTAGTTAATAAAAGAACCGGAGACAACGGCTTGATAACTACCGACAGAGATGCTGAAGTCTGGTAGCTCGGCAGAGCAAGGGAAAGTGTAACCTCCAACCTGCGGGTCATTCTTGGCGTCGGTAACTTGCTGGTAATAGGCAGATACAATGCTAGTGTCGAGGAGCAGCAGGGTGGTTCCAGTGTCTAGTTTGCAGATTAGCGTGAGTAAGCCAATAGAAGAGGGAGTCACCTGCCAGCAATCCCTGAGATAGAAGATCCAGCTGCGGCACTGCCAATCGTATAATTGTCGGCACTGAACATCCAAAACCCTTGAGAGCTATCGACCGGTGTATAGGCTAGTGAGCCGGTGAACTTCGTCTGATCGATGAATCCGAAGTCATAGACGCCAGGCTGGTTGTGCTTGAGGCAAGCAGCAAAGAGGGGCTGCGCGAGCTGCGACTTGACAGTATCAAAAAAAGTCAGCTGCTGCTGAGGAAGAACAGTATTAATAGAACTGAAAGCCAGGCCCAAGATACCATCATTGTTCCTGTCTGACACGAACCGCTTGCTGACCTGCTCAGCGGCTTCAACGGCCTGACTAGTTGCCTGTACACCACCAACAGTAACAGTGTCTTGAAAGACATTACCACTAGCAGAGCTACCGTCACTATACGAAATGTTCCACGTGTAGCCACTGAGAGGGGTAGCGCTGCTTGGGTCATAGATGCTGTGCCCAGTCTGCGCTGAGGCGGGGAGCTCCGTTGAAAAGACCCAGAGATCGGACGAGCCAGTGTCAAAGTCAAGGTTCATAATAGTGTTACCAATGGTAACAGGACAGTCATACTCCTCGTCACTGGCCGAAGGAGTGGCTATGACTGAGCCATTCTCAACTGCGGCAAGGATGTTGTCGGGGATCTCGGCACCATGCTTTCCAAGAGCATGGACGTACATGCCTGCAAGGTTGACCTTCCTGGGACCAAAATGCTTCCTAGCCACCTGATTGACCGAGAAGGTCTTGGACTTCGAGGTACGAGATGAATCGATCGGCATAGCAGACGCGGCCATAGCGAGGGTCAAAGCAGCCGTCGCCTTGCTGTAGACAACCATGATAATGTTTCGAGTGAAGAATATACAGATGATTGTGTAGAAAATGTTGGCTATTGTGAGAAGCAGCCGCAGTCAAGGTTCCCTTATGATACAAACATATATTTACTGTCCGAGAAAATATACAGTACTGAGCCAGACAAAAAAAAAGAAAACGGAAATATCTGGCCTGATGTATTGTGTGAAATACTGTCCGGGCTAATGACGCTGTAGATCAGAGATGTCACAGAGAAAGAGCAAAATCGGTAGGGTCCCAGTTCATAGGGCGGCAGAAAGAAAGTAGAATACCCGTAATATCCAGCTTGGAATAATCTGACAATTATCAATATCAATCTAGGTATTCTCCTGCCTCCTCTCATTGTCTGTTGAACAACGCATGGGATGACTCACAACGCTTGGGACAACAAAGTTAAAATTTTTCATTTCTAGTGCCCTATTGAAAAGGCTCACGCAAGGCGGCTGCTGCTATCTCTAGTGAGACAAAATTGGCCTCTTTCAATAACTCCCAGGTGCAAATTTAAACATCGGTGACGAAAGAATCTCACAAATTGGTCAGCCAACGCAGCCGCATTTGTTAAACACGATTGTAGCCAATTTTATCTACGAACTCCGGTATTATATACGCTCTTCTGTTCAACATTGATTGCAAAATTTGTTCATGTTTGACTATATCCCCTCTGTTCTAGATGCAGTTTGCATCACAAAACCTATCTAAGTTCACCTGGTTATGGCCGTGTTGTATACTGCTCTTCTGTTCAACACGGGTCGGATCTATTATGAAGATGTTGGACTTAGGACCAATTACGTGCCTAGCCAAGTTAACTAAGCCCGACCATGATTGGCTGCTCAAGATTTTCTGTTCACCATTGATTATGTTCACTAGGTTGTCGATAATGAGGGCCATTTCATTTCCTTTGTAGGGCAGCGACCTCTACTAAAAAAGAAAGGACAGCTGTTCATATCTCTATAGATATCTGTTAAACTAGCGTTAAAGACGTTTGTGTTCAACATGCTGGGCCTGTGACGTTTCAAGCGCACAGTCGATTTGCCTGACGGAAAGGACCCAATTCTGTAAATCAGAAACGAACTATATTACTTAACATGTGTCTGGCTTAGCCCACTGTTGAACTTCAACAAATAGCACAATAATTGCTATATTTCACTCTGAGCGCAGAATAGGGTTTAATAACACGCATAAATGGTTGAAAAGAGAAAAGGGCCGCGTTGAACGCCGCTAACAAAGGCAAACAGCATAGCAGTGTTGATAGTTTGCCGTTGAACTGCAGGGACGCACTCACTGCGGTGCAGGCGAACACAGCCACACTCATGGGATCAGATTGCAGTTGCAGCACGTATAGCTAATGTTCAACGGCAGGGTGGACACGCCCCACGCAAGTGAACTGGGCCAGGTTCGTCTGATCCAATCGCAGTTGCGGTACTGAGTGTCACGTGTGAACGGCAGGATAGATCCAACACGCCGCGCAGATGAACTCGGCTAGACCCGTGTGATCCAACTGCAGTATTGTAGAACAGACATCCAGTGTTGAACGGCAGGGATGAATCTTACATGGTAGAGGTGAACTCGGACAGTCTCCGTGTGATCCAACTGTAGCGTTGCAGTGCTGACAGTCGCCGTTGAACGGCAGGGATGGCTCAAGGACGCCACCGAGGTGACTTTGTCAGACTCTATGATCCAAATTGTACTGTAGCTAACATGACACAATTTTTTGAATCGATGGTGTCTAGATTCGCGTGACGTTAACCGTAGCTGCGTCATGGTGCTCAAATTTTGTAGCAAATTGGGGTATGGGGTACATCATTTGTGTTGGCCGTGTTCACTCCAATGTGACACTAACTGCAGCTAACACGATCTGCTCTAGGGACCCTGTCCAGACTCGCGTGAATGCAATCCCATACAGTGCGTCTCGAAACTGGTGCGACCACCTACACTCTTCGATTGATTCTCCGGCCCCACTGCCAAGACACACTAGTCTATATCAAGAATCGACACGGAATATCAATATTCCCGTAGCGGTATCAATACGGTGACTCTCTCTAATTATAATACGTGGCTCTGTGCTCATGACCGTCCTTTTCCTGCTCTGGCGCTACGAAAAGGAAAGGATACGTCCAATAGTCAGCCCTCAGCCCCGGTGTCAAAGACTATGAATTCGTGACTATATGGCATTGAGGGTGTGCAGATTTGGATCAGATAAATTATTGATTAGTTCACTAATTCTAGGAAAGGGGAATGGAGAATCAAGCTGAGTTTAATTGAGATAAGATATTCGTGTGTAGATCCAAATACTAATTTTGTCCATGGTAGGCAACATACTGACTACTAGAATGTTTTAGTTATAAGGGATCAAATGTATAAATAGGGGCGGGTAAAAAAAAAGGGGGACTATTCAAGCGATGTAAGCGATGGGTTTCTGACGGCCCGGCTGCGCCACGTCGGGTCTAGGTTCTCTTATTATTGCCCACAACTCACCTGTGACCGCCAGGTGGCCTTCTTAACAAAAATACAAAACTACATGACCTCGGTAGCTAGGCGGACAAATCACTAGATTAATATGCCTAATACAGATTATGATTTGGAATATCTCGCGGCCTCAAGGCATAGTTCTATGGCCTCTCTATTAGGTTAATCGTTTGCAAATTCGTGCTAGAGACAACAGCTAACAAGCTTATAGAAGATTCAAAGCCGAGAGACGCCTATTCTCGTTTCCTCGCCTTACTATTTGAGCTTCGAAACAAGATAATCAAATACACTATCAGCTCTACATACTCTACACGCGAGCTCGAGGCATGGCAAAAGCTCCAATACACTGGTCCTCGCTCAGGATGGGAGATAAAACCGGAGGACTTCACTATTAGTTCTACTGGTCTCCAATGGCATTCCATGACGTTGTTCAATTTTGCTCTTGTGAATAAGCAACTTCGGCATGAGGCGCTTAGCATCATCTTTCGGAATGCGACTATTTGCATTTATGTCTATATTTCTAGGTTCGGACTATTTAGCTCAATCCCGAAAGATATATCCAAAACCTATCGCACTCTTCGCGAGCATTCGATGTTACTAGAACTAGCATGCGATATCACCTTCATCGTTGATCCATAGCCTACGTATAGCCAGACGCTTGACCACAAACTAGGCTCTACGTTGAACGCAATATTTGGGTACCGCAGAAGTATATTTTGGGCTCTGTTGGTATTCGTATGCATCGAAGTCCCACTTGCCTATATCGCTCAACTAGCTACACGAATTTCTGAGATTGTGCCTTTTCAAGGAAAACGGCATACTGATCTTTAAGCACTTGTTGATCTTCTTGTGTAGGCGCCTAGGAATGGCACATATAGGAAGATTATTGTATATCTAGAGCATTTGCATCTACAAGATCTCGCAATTGTCCTTAGTTTACTAAACTTGCGATGTTGGCCTACTACGTTAGAGGAGGTTTGGGCTTCCTAGTCTAGGTATGATATGGGCCTACAGTTAATGAAAGAAGAGTATGAAAAACACTATAAGAATTTAGTGATGTCTGCTATGGAGCAGGCTAGATGCATAGAGATTCTTAGTATTCCTATAGAATTTGACGTTGATAAGACCCACAAGTGGGATGTTCGTGGCACTTAGTACATAGGGAGGAGCCGAAGAACCTAGATAGAGAACAATAATCTTGAGATAGTTATAGAGTGACACTAGAATAGTACTTATCTAGTCCTAGGATCTCTCTAACACTTATAATTACGACTATCCGTCTTCTCAAGACTAGGGCTCGTAGTAGGCTTCCCCTTACTAAAAGCTGAACAAATCTCTAGATTTATTTCTTTCTTTCGGTGTTTATCACTCGGATCCTAGCAATTCAGGGGTGTCTACGAAGTAGCCGTGAATGCCATTTTCTGGTTTTGATTAACGTAAGCGGCTAGGAACATCGAGTACGTACTACGACTACGAAATTCCTAGACGCTAGTAGAGTCTCTCCCTTTCCTCGGCGTATGCTTCGACCACACCCTTTAGGTCCTAGATTACGAAAATCTAGTTTCTACAGCTCAGATCGCGCTCAAAGATGAGAATTAGAGCATCAAGATCTTACGACGGGGGGTTAATACCAAATCGGATATGACCTATACTTAGTGTTTCGAGCAAATTCTCACTATGATGACTCATCAACGTCTAGTTCTCTTGAAATGAGATTGAAATAAGCAAAGAATACGAAATTTCAATATTTCGAAATGGGTTGGCCAATAAATTACAATAGCACTATGGGAAAAATTTTAGTTGCCTTGGATCGCCAATTCAGTTACAAGACAGAGCGACGTATTATAATTAGAGAGAGTCACCGTATTGATACCGCTACGGGAATATTGATATTCCGTGTCGATTCTTGATATAGACTAGTGTGTCTTGGCAGTGGGGCCGGAGAATCAATCGAAGAGTGTAGGTGGTCGCACCAGTTTCGAGACGCACTGTAGGAGGTGAATAGCTTATAAAATAAATACTATACGAAGTATTGAAACATGGAGCCTCTCTGTATTCACACAAATGGTATAGGGAAACCTTACAAAGTAGGATAAAACCCATACCCATACCAAGGCATGCTAAAAAATAAGATCAATCCTGTACCGCCACTATTTCTCTTGCGCCTCCTAGGAAGATTTCGGTGATTGATCGACAGGGCGTAGGGTGCCCACATAGTCTGCCATATAATCTTCCACCTCTAGTTTCCTATCCTCTGAATCGTCGAGCCTGCGAGCTCGAGATCCACCAAGCGGAGAAATACCAGCCGCATGAAGTCCTTGGATGAACAATTCAACCACTTCCTCTAAGGATTGGATATGATCAAACGCAGGTACTACTTCATTTGGCACGCCTGTTATCTCCCACTTCTTCGTAGTCCAAAACATCCGATACTCTGTTCGCACATAGTTATAGTGAGGGACGCCATCGCCGGCAATGCGATAACCAAGGACGTAGGAATTAACCTCGAATTTGGTAGGCCACATCTGATAGCAAGTTCCAGCGTCTCGATATTTGTTAAAACCGCGACCCGCTAGAATGATAGCAACATTGGGGTCTTGCGCATGTTCATTGACTAAGTAGCTGTTGGCGATGTTTGTGACCCATTCGAGGACATATCTCCAGCTGACCGATTCATAGGTTTGGCGATCGGTGAAAACACCATCCTCACTTCTGTATTCAACTGACATCTTTTTCGAGTGATAGATTTTCCTTTTTGCAGTGTTAGCATGTCCCAAGAGCGAAAAAGTAGTAATGTTCTTACAATTAATGCAAAGGCTTTTTGGGTTTCAGAGCAGACCGGTGGGTAAATTGCGATCGCAATGAGGTTAGCAGTTGAATCAACCCTAGGAGACGTAGTCTTTGATAAAGAAGAAGATCAAGCTGTCTGCTCGCCGTTGGAAAATCAGGAAATCGATGGATCCTCTTATGTCTTAGTATTTCTTTGTTTCGGTTGGAATTTAAGAGTAAGATGACAACGAACTGAACAGACTAGTAAGACAGATGCACGGAAGTCTCAACTCTTCTTTGGCGAAAGAGTGATATCCTTAAACTATTCAACGTAATTGCGAGGCGTTGTGAAAAGTATTATTTTACCTGAGGAAATAGGCAGCTTCCTATAGAAAGAACCAGATATTGTACTTATAGAGATAGGAAATTAGTTTTCTTGTTCAGTGATATCATTACCTCGATATGAGGTCAGCTATATGTCATGACCAACTCGTGAACTTTAATATCTCAGCGTCACCAGCCCAGTCTTTCAATGTTAAGCTTGCATAGGTCGCGTCCAAAGTTCTGGCGGGTGTCTCAGAGAGGATAGGGTTTAACTAGTGTCCACAGCGAAGTTTGGTTGTCCCGGAACCAAAATTCCACAGGCGGCTGAGACTAGAACCGTACCAATAAAAGTAGGTTCAAAGTTACTGCCAAGATAAACCCACAAACTATGGATCTCAGAACCGCCATATGGATTGACCTGACCTAGTCTCGGCCCTCCGTCCCGCTTCCTTCGCAGAACCATGGGCATAAATCGAGTAATTGGTCATGTTACATTCCTGTTTAGCAGCACCAGAATATCTCACAGCCGACTTTTAATGAAGCAAATAGAATCGTGGTAGTTTTCTTTCTACTACTCAATGGCATCTTTGTAGCGATGAAGCTGTTTTTCATAACGATGATTAACACTCCGCATGCAATCGTTACAGTGGCACCGCAAAAGTCTGTGACCACCCCCCTCTGACCGCCCTCTTTCACCGCCCCCTAAATTAGACTAGTAGAACGCGTCGCGAATAGTATAATTTAGACTATTATGATTATTATTATTAACTATGCCTTGCGTGCGATCTTTACTTCGACCACGGCTAGTACTAAGGGGCCCTCTGCCTACTGCCCCTCTGCCACCTCCTGCACCCCCTAATAGTGCCCTAAGACGTCGTAATTGCGAGCTAGACGTTAATATTCGAACACAAATTGTTACGCTAAGAGAGACTGCTGAATGGTCATACGGAGAGATCCATAAGAAGTTCCCTGATCTTCCACTATCGACTATTAAAATGACATCTCTACGATCGCGTATTCGGCATAAAGAAGAGTCTTTAAAGCGGTCTGGACGTCCGAAAGTCCTCGATGAGAATGACCGTCAAAAGATCCTTAAAAAGATACATGAAGAACCCCGAGTCACGTACGACGACCTACTCTCTGAGGTTAGCAATAAGTGCAAAAAAGACTCAATTGCTCGCCTTCTTTGTGTAGAGGGTCTTAAGAAGTGGCGGGTTATGAAAAGACCATATCTTACACCTAAGAATGCCGCTCAACGCCTCGCATAGGCAGACAAATATTCTGGCTATACCGAAGAGGATTTTGCCCGTGTCTTTTTCTCCGATGAATGTACGATTGAACGTGGTATTAGGCTCCGACCAGAATATTCTTTCATCCGTCTAAAAGACCAACCAATTCAGGGCGAAGTCTAACCTACTCCGTATAAGGGCTACCAAATTAAATAGATATTTTGGGCTTTATTTTCGGGCTCAACTCGACGGACTAGACTTATTCCGCTCTATGGGGATCCAAACTCACCCTAAGGAGGTGTGAATCGCTTCGTTATCCTTAATCTATACCGTCGAATCCTACTAACTTTGCTCGATGACCTAAGATCGATATTTCAACAAGATAATGCTCCATCCCACACTACGCATATTGTCCAAGACTATATTGCTTCTCTTAGACGGGAGATCATGATATAGCCCCCTTATTCGCCTGATCTAAATCCAATTGAGAACCTATGGACGTTATTAAAACAGAAAATCTATCAGATTCGACCTGATCTTCTACATATGCCAAATAATGACGCAACTTTAGATATTCTAGTTGATACTGCAGAGTAAGCATGGCAAGAACTAGATCTTAGTATTTTAGAGAACCTCTCAGAGAGTATGCCGCATCGTGTACAAGCTATTATTGATGCTAATGGCTGGTATACTAAGTATTAGTTTTATTTAATTATTTTATGGAGTTTTTAGTACGGCAGAATAATGTGGCAGAAAGTAGCGGTGTAGGGGGGGTGGTCACAGACTTTTGCGGTGCCACTGTACTAGAACTACATTAAGAGAGAACGGGGGGACTTTACTTGGCCTAACTAAGTTTAGCGTGATCTAAGTGGGGCACTGGGAAAGAAAGCCTGTGTGTCTTGAGGGGTAATTTGTTTTCGAATTCTACTGTACCAATTATCTCTCGGGGGCCAATATCCACACCCTAGGAACACCGTCGTGGACTCTGGGAACCCCGTATATCCCAGGAACTGACGGGAAAGTCCTGGTATCTGTAGAGTGGATCCTGGAGTCTAGTTTCTCGCTGCAAGCTCTGTGGCCTCCGCTGGATTTGTCCTGGGTTCCAGGAGGGGTTAAAACTCCTAGTCTTTGATTAGTTATTCCCAGAAGCTTATTCGATGTTCCCAGGAATACCTTTTTGGGGACATCATTATTACTCGTGTATCTGTACAACTTCGTCAAGGCAGCTCTGTCTTACCCTGGACCGCTCGAAAAGAATGAAGAAGCTATGTGTAGTTTCCCAGGAATAATCTAGTTATTACTTGCAGAGTGTCATTGAAGTCGTAGCTAACAGAAAGAGCATCCATTTCTTTTAAAACTGACTAAGCTGACATGGTGACATTTGTGATACGCCTTGAATTGAGAGGAAGAAGAACTCGACAAGCTAGCCCTGAGAGAAGAAAGGCAAGTCAAAAAGCGATTACTGGTAGCCCGTCACTGCCATTTGTCGGTCAAGCCAACTATAAAGTGAGCAGTTGCAAAGTTCGTGGGCAAATTTGGCTTTGTGAGATCTCAAGCTATTTACATTCAAAATGAGTTCTCCTCCCAAGAGTACCACAGAACAAGATACTGAATCACCTGATGCCCGTCTCGATTCACTGATCGCTGAATGACGGTTTGATGGGAATTTTTTCTCCCGGCTATCATGAATCCCCCCGTCAGCAATCTGCCACCACCTACACTCTTTCATTATTTCTCGAAGCCCAATGCCAAGACTTACTAGTGTATATTAGGAATAGACCCGGAATATCAATATTCCTGTATCATCAATACAGTGACTTACTCTAATATAATACATCTCTCTGTCTCGTAACTGAATTGGCGATACAAAGGCAACTAGAATTTTCCATAGTAATGCAAGCAAGTCAAACACGAGAGCTTGAGAAGGCCTCGAGAATCTGGCAAGGTCACTTTCCTCTGCCACTTCCCATGTCTAAGTGACATTCTGGGGGGTTACTCGGTACAGTGATATTCGAAATCAGATATACCACCATACACTCACGAATTAATTGTCGAGCCCTAACCTGAAACGCGCCAATCTAATTTTAGTTTCTCCATCCGCAATCCCTGCGGAATCGTATCGTATTGCCTGACAGTGATGAATGAGTAATGGTTATAATACCGTATTGCTCGATGGAATTGTGTAGAATCTTCCTTCAGTCCACACAGAGTGAAAGTTGTAGGGGTCTGGCATGATTGCCTCTCTTTCCTTCCTCCTCATTGCAGGCAGCCTTTCTCCACGATCGTTTTAAATATGATAGAAGGCTACGCTAGTACTGTAGAGAATGGTAGTCATTATGCTTACTTGTTTCCATGGTCTTTTTCCCTTCTAATATGTTCATTTGTTATGTGGAGACGACCGGAAAAGCTCATATCACTTTGATTACATTTCTCAGCCCGAGTAGCCTGAATCATGGGAACACAACTAGCAGTACAGTCGTGCTCGAAATCGCCTTGACCAATATACACTGAGAAACTCTTTCCTGGCCCTACTGCCAAGGCCTTAGCGCGGATCATTTATTGAGCCGGCCGTGTTAAATTGAGGGCGAAATAAAAATGCGCTGTGTACTGTATGTACCCTGACGAAAAATTACACCATGCGTGTAAAACGTCCGCGGAATTCCATGGAATCGTAAAGTGGATCTGCAAATCATGTGGGAAGTGCTGCCTAGTGCTGGGTAACCTGATGATCTTCCAAGCGACTTCACTTCTCCTTCTCATGCTGTGCGGCGTGTGCTGGTCATCACCTGTGAGGCTGTCTCTTTGGACTAGAGAACCTCAAACAAGTGGTACTAGCGGCTAATAACCATTCTGACTACTTGGCGGTTGTTTGTAGGCGAACAACACCCTCAACCGCTCCTAATGGTGTAAGCCTTAACTAATGATCACTTACCTTTAGTCTGTCGTTATAGTAGGCCTAAGAAAATGACTCCTAATTCTCTCGTTAACCATTATGATTATAGCGTTCAACAAAGCATAGCGCTTAACACGTAGGGCGATGATACATCATAATATGTACTAACACCTAGCAACTTCCGTTGGTTAGCCGCCTCCCCGTCCGATATAAGCTATATCAACGTCGATCCCTTCTCCCCTATAGAACACGCGTCTCTACAATAAACTACTTCGCAAAAGAATAGTCTTCCGTTACTCTAGTTCGGTGATTAGGAGGAGGGTCGAACATATAACGAGGACCCACTAACCTATATCTACTACTTGATCGAGTAGAAGGTCACTATTAATAATAGGATAGTAGCGAAAGATATAGAACAAGATCTAGTTCTAGCCCCTCGATTTCACTAGAGGCTCTTTTTGCAACTAAAGCTAAAGGAGCTACTTATACGAAAGTATCTATATTGCAAACTTGAATTAGATGACACGTCTATTATCGTATTTGCTACTTAGTAGAAGGGCCTTACTCTAAGGTTTAATAGAACCGACATTAATTAGACCTCTATAGAAAAGTAGCTCTTAGATTAGGATGACCTCTTTCTTACTAGTAAGAAACTAAGACTAGTCATCTTATTTAATTACATAGAGAACTCTTTGAGCTTAAATAGAAGTAGTAGGACGACTAATAAACGAGGCACTTCGTCTACTACCTAGCGGATGCTTTAAGAGTAAGATCGATAGATCTATACTAAGGAAGTAGCTTCTAGAGAGCCGCCTACCTAGAAAGAGGTATATGCTTCAATACGTTGTCCTAGGTCCTATGAGCTAGGCCTATACTACTAGTAGGATCCCTATAGGAAAAAACACTATAAGCTCTACTAGGATTAGCTAGAGAGTTTGGTTAAATATATATAAAGCGGTAGGATTTTACTATGTTATGAAGATATGCCTAGTATGATTCGCGAGTAAATCTATAGAGTAGAGAGACAACGTTTTAATAGACTATAGGCTAATAATCGATCTACTGCTAAGGCAAGCTACCCTCCCATTACTATCATAAATATACTTCTAATATAAGCCTAATAAGCACCTAGGCTATCAATATCTATACTTCTAGGGAATACTATTACCTCTTTAGTCGACGTTCCTACTATTCATATTTCAGGCCTTCTCGATATTGCTATAAGAGAATATAGCAGCTAGTAATAGTCACACTTAGGTAACGAGGCGTTGAAAGCCGAGGTTAGAAAGGCGTGCGATGTAGCCCTAGATGATAGACTAGACTTAGTATAGATTAATAAAGACAAAGATCCTGATTACTTTAAGGTTCGAGGTGTTAAGTGGGGTATTACTTAGCGTTTTGTCAATGACATTAGGCACTAGGCGGAAAAATACAACGGATGTATGACAAGCGAAGCGGATATATAGTACGAGCATTAGGTATTCTAGTAGGTCCTTTTAGGCATCTATATAATTTGAGATATCTTCTATGCAGCTTAGCAAGAAAATCAAAGTTCATCGATTATTAGACTTGCGTTTCGGAAATAACCCTTTGCGCTTAATACCCTTAAACCAACCACGTCAACACACCACTCAAGAAAGGCGTCGAAACCTTGGTTTAGGTTCACTTCATACTCATTCCACTTTCGCTTAATGAATTGCTTAAGCTTAGAGAAGAACTCTTCAATAGGGTTTAAGTCTAGTGAATAAGGGGGAAGATATATTAGCTTCACGCCGGAGTCTAAGCACATCCGCTAGATCTTCTCCGTACAATAAAAAGAAGCGTTATCTATAATGAGAATAGACTTTAGCGCCGGCCACCTATTGTAGTATTAAAGAAGTTATTTGATAAAATCCTTAAAAACGTTAGCATTAGTAGAGCCTTGAAATATCCGTCATAGGATAATCCCATCCTAAGCATACGTAGGTAGTATTTAATAGCGTTTATCTCAGTGAAAATTAGAGATCTAGACTAGAGTAACACCGATAGGAGACTAGCCTATTCGTCGAAACCTAGCCCGTTTATCACAACCTGACTCATCTACGAAGACTAGATGGTATGACCGATAGCTAGATAGGTTGTAGAGGTAGAAGTCCCGTAAATCTACGTTTCGTTCCTTCGCAATCTTTCGAGCTACTTTCTTCGACCATCCGACCGAAGCAAGCGCTCTGCTAATGCTTTGAATCGTTATATACTTCCCAAATTCGTCCCAAAGAAAGAGGGCCATCTCGTCTCGGTATAAAGTCGGTTTCTCTATCAAGTGTTCACAGAGAGCTTCGAGCATAGACGGTGTGATACTTCGCGGGCGTCCAACACCATTTCGCGGCGCCCTAACATTCCCGAATACTTTAAGGTTAGAGCGAATGTGTAGTATGGATTGTTTGCTGCAGCCAGAGGCAAGAGCCATCTGGGATGTCGTTAGTGAATTACTCTGGATCATATGATGATTAAGCTCGAGTTGTGCGGGTTTCAAGTTTGGTGCCATCTTTCCTGATGGATGTGCAATGATTGTTTTGCAGTGTGCTGCATAGACTTTGGTATGAGATCGGCATCTCTTGACGGCCCGACAGTAAATCCGAGTCCAATCACATCACGTGCAGACAGCCATTCATTCTACGCGATTCCATTAATTTCTATAACCTATGATTGGTGCCCGAGAGCCCACCTCCTCACTACTGCTCGAGGCTACCAAGGTTAGACCCTTCCGCGAAAGCAGTGTAAACCTAATCCTAAAGTCATATTTCTTGAATCATCTTTTTACAAGCTACCTTGGAACGCTAGGAGCGGACCGGTCCGGCCTGATTAAGACCTACTTTGGACTTTGTTCTTGGAACGCCAGGCCAGGAACGCCAAGGCCAGCACGGTAACGCGGATCCCTAAAACAGAGACGTTCATTTGTTTAGCTTCGATCAAACCCCGACCATTGAAACGCCCTCGAATCGATCTTGCATTTCCTCCGTCTATAGAAAAAGTCTCTACTGCCTTAGCGGGGCGCTTACAACGACCATAGGCAACGAACGACGTGCCATGTCTCGGCTGAAGCGGTTTTGGAAGGGAGATTCGACGAAGGCAAAGGGTCAAAATGACGATGTGTCTGCAAAATTAGCTGGTACGGGAAAACTTCCAAACTAATATTGTCACTATTGATGTCCATAGGACCAGTTACCCTCCACGGTGACAGCGTTATAGGGTCGATTTCTGCAACTTCAATTACCAATCGGTCAACCACAGATCCTTCTACCTTGATCTCCGTCACCTCCGAGAAGATGCCTCACACCAAGTTTACGGGAGTGACTGGAAATGAGACTTCTAACGACCCGAATCCAACCCAACCGCTATCTGCAGATATCATAGACGCTGGATCTACTCCTGCTTCTCTCTGGGACAAAGCATATGATTCTCTGAAGCAAGAAAAACCTGAGCTAGTATCAAGATATGAGGACCTCTTGTCTCGAGTGCTCATCAGAGGTAGCCTTGAATGTAATGAACCTGTTCCCCAGCCGTGCTAATGACACTATATAGCTAAGGCGAACTCTCTATCGGCCCCGAGCCAGGAAGAAGACGCCGAGGATATCAGGAACCAAATTCCCCAACATGATGCGGCTACGCGCAGAGAGAAACTGAAACAGATAGCCGAACTAGGTCTGAAACACATGGAAGATAAGAAGGTTAAGGTGACAATGCTAGGACATGAGATCGGTCTGCAGGACGGGGTGGCTCAGATTGGCAAGGCTGTGGATTGGGCCCAAGAATACGTCAAAGATGCGGTCAAAGATGTCCCTTATGCGCCGGCTGTGATGGCAGGCATCTCACTCGTCCTTCCCCTCCTAAAAAACCCGGCCGCTGCCGACACTGCCAATCAGGAGGGGTTTACATATGTCACGTCGCAAATGCGCTACTACGTCGAGATGGAGTCGCTCCTGTTACCCGAGGATATGAAGCCTGGCTTGAAGAATGACTTGATGGAACGTGTGGTGGACCTGTATAACCTCATTATTGACTTCCAGGCGCAGAGTGTCATAAGGTTTTATCGCAGTCAGACCAAAAGCTACTTCAAGGGCGTCGTCAACTACGACAGCTGGGACGATAAACTGGGTCACCTCAAGGAGGAAGAGGCAAAACTAGAGGATAAGTTTGAGAAGGTTTTGTCTGCCACGGGTGTGCAGCAGCTGAAGAAGCTGGCCGGGGAAGCGAAAAGATCTCACAAGGCCCTAAACGATATTCTCGATAATATTCAGGAGCTTGTGAGGATATCTCGAAGCCAAAAGGATACACTAGAGAGGACTGAGCAACGCTTATCTAATGCGGAAGACCGACGCTGCCGAGACACTCTCAACGCCACCGATCCTAGCCTTGATAAAGTCCGAATCGAGGAGGACAAAGGTGGTCTTCTCCGAGACTCATATTGTTGGGTACTCGACCATATCGATTTTCAGAGGTGGAGGGACGCGAGATGTGGCCAGCTTCTCTGGATCAAAGGTGATCCTGGAAAGGGCAAGACAATGTTGCTCTGCGGGATTATTGATGAGCTATCTAAGGTGGCTATACATGACATTAACATCTCGTTCTTTTTCTGCCAAGCTACAAACGACCGCATCAATAATGCGACAGCAGTGCTGCGGGGACTTATATATATGCTTGTGCAGCAACAGCCCTCTCTCATCACCCATGTTCGCGATGGCTCCTTCGAGGGAGAGAATGCATGGTTCGCATTGCTCAGAGCCTTCAATAAGATTCTAGAGGATGCGCACTTGCATCGCACTTACTTTATTATTGATGCACTTGACGAGTGCACTTCAGGCCTGAGCCAACTTCTTGATTTACTTGTTCAGCAGTCGTCAGCTCATTCGCACGTGAAATGGATCGTCTCTAGCCGCAACTGGCCGAGCATTGAGAAAGACCTCGATAACACGACGCAAATAAAGCTTCGTCTTGAGTTAAACGAGGACTCTTTGTCGGCTGCTGTTAACTCATTCATCCAGCATAAAATAAATAAGTTGGCAGAAAGGAACAATTACAGTGCCGAAATACGGGATGTGGTCCAGCATCACTTGATATCAAAGGCAAATGGCACGTTCCTCTGGGTCGCCTTGGTTTGTAGGGAACTTACCAACGTCCCAAACAGACACGTGCAGAAGAAGTTGGAGGGATTTCCGCCCGGTCTTGATGAGCTTTATAGGCGAATGTTCAACCAAATCAGCGAATCAGATGACGCGGAGCCCTGCAAGTCTCTTCTCGGCGTTGCTATGACCGTTTTCCGCCCTATCACGCTGGATGAATTATCGTCCTGTATCGACTTACCTAAAGAAATCACAGACGAGCTAGCAGAGATTATAGGGCTTTGTGGCTCTTTCTTGTCGCTCAGAGAACGGACGATCTCCTTAATTCATCAGTCAGCCAAGGACTTTCTCCTGCGAAAAGCATCCGATGAGATCTATCCTAACGGAATTGAAAAGGTACACTATTCCATCTTCTCGAAGTCGATGCATGCAATTGCTAGGACACTGCAACGTGATATCTACGGCCTAGTCGCCCCCGGATATCCGATCGACCAGGTCAACCAGCCGGATCCAGACCCATTAGCCGCAATACGGTACGCATGTATCTATTGGGTTGACCACCTAAACAAGTGCTCTCTCGGCAATCGCGCGATCGAAGACCTTCAGGACAGTGGCTTGGTCGGGAGTTTCTTGCGCCAGGACTACCTTCATTGGCTCGAGGCTCTCGGCCTATCAAGAAGCTTGTCAGATGGAGTAGCCTCCATGCTAAGACTCGAGAGTTTGATTAAGGTCGGTTTCCGACTACGCTATCACAAATTTTTTTAACTTAATCTTTTAGACAATAACGGAGGATGCACAGATAATCAATCGAGTTCGAGATGCATCCCGGTTTATCCGATACTTTAAAACAGCCATTGAAAGCCAACCCCTCCAAGTATACGCTTCAGGGATGGTCTTTTGCCCAACTGGCAGCATAACAAAGATCCAATATAAAGTCAACGAGCCAGTGTGGATAATGGAGAAACCAACCATGGAAGAGAGTTGGAGCGCATGCCTCCAGACCCTCGAGGGCCATGGCGATAGCGTCAAATCGGTCACCTTCTCCCATGATTCCAAGCGGCTCGCGTCGGCTTCGGCGGATGGCACCGTCAAGGTGTGGGATGCCAGCAGCGGCGACTGCCTCCAGACCCTCGAGGGCCATAGCGATAGCGTCAAATCGGTCACCTTCTCCCATGATTCCAAGCGGCTCGCGTCGGCTTCGGCGGATTGCACCGTCAAGGTGTGGGATGCCAGCAGCGGCGACTGCCTCCAGACCCTCGAGGGCCATAGCGATAGCGTTAACTCGGTCACCTTCTCCCATGATTCCAAGCGGCTCGCGTCGGCTTCGGAGGACGATACCGTCAAGGTATGGGATGCCAGCAGCGGCGACTGCCTCCAGACCCTCGAGGGCCATAGCTATCACGTCAACTCAGTCACCTTCTCCCATGATTCTAAGCGGCTCGCGTCGGCTTCGGAGGACGATACCGTCAAGGTATGGGATGCCAGCAGCGGCGACTGCCTCCAGACCCTTGAGGGCCATGGCTATAGCGTCAACTCAGTCACCTTCTCCCATGATTCCAAGCGGCTCGCGTCGGCTTCGGAGGACGATACCGTCAAGGTATGGGATGCCAGCAGCGGCGACTGCCTCCAGACCCTTGAGGGCCATGGCTATAGCGTCAACTCAGTCACCTTCTCCCATGATTCCAAGCGGCTCACGTCGGCTTCAGCGGATGGCACCGTCAAGGTGTGGGATGCCAGCAGCGGCGACTGCCTCCAGACCCTCGAGGGCCATGGCTCTAGCGTCAACTCGGTCACCTTCTCCCACGATTCCAAGCGGCTCGCGTCGGCTTCATGGGACGGCACCGTCAAGGTGTGGGATGCCAGTAGCGGCGACTGCCTCCAGACCCTCGAGGGCCATGGCTATGGCATCAACTCGGTCAAATCATTCGACAGTAGCCACTCCCGTGTTGAAACTAACATTGGCACCCTTCGTTTATCTTTGGGACGGACCCACGCTACTGAGCCCGAAGTGCCGCAATTTGAAGGTTATAGTATAAGTTCCGACAAAACATGCATTACTAGGAACTCGAAGGATGTACTCTGGTTACCACCGGAGTACCGCCCAGTTACCGCCAGCGTGTCACAATCGACAATATGTCTTGGCTGTGCCTCGGGACGAGTACTATTATTCACCTTTGATTCCTCAACATTATCAAATCTCCTTGACTGCCCTGAAATCCTTTTAGATTAAACTAGTCTCACAAATTCCATCTTTCACTCTCTTCTATTTTCAATTCTCTTTGCAATAGCCTCCATAACCGGCATCCGGGTGACTACAAGCAGTGGTGAACAGAAGAACTCCAGTCTACCAGGGCCGTGCTAGGTTAACTTGGCTAGGCTCGTGTTTGACCCCAACTGCAGCAATTTTGCAGTGGGTACAGCCTAGCAGTATCTAAAATGGCAATATTCAATTGAACTAGTTAGATCTTGTGAAGAACAGAATGGATACTGTACAGTCAGGCATGCAATATCTCTGGCATATGAGTCAGAAACCTGACCGTAGCAACACTTGTACAGAGTCGCGCTGGGACTTGTGGCCGTCTGTGGCCCTTATTCTATTATAACATCGATTCAATTGTTACTAAAGTATCAGCGGAACGGGTATGAAGGGGATTTTTACGATAAGTAACCACATTGGATTAGCGTGTATCTGATTTCGTATATCGCTGTAGAATAGAGAGCCGTAGAGGAACATGCCCGGAGTTGGGACCTTCTTAAGGCGTGCAGATTCGTTGGCGGCGGATTGATCTACACGGCAGACTGGCCAAACCAGACAATGGTCGATTGTCGGCCGACCAGCGATGAACTCGATCCAGGGACTAGTGTCCGGATTTGCTAATAGGTCAAAGGGCACATGTCCAGGGTCGAGCGGCCATGGTTGAAGGGCAACGGTGCGAAGGACAAGCGCTGAAGTCAAATGAGGTTGGGCTAAGTATCCTTGATCACGGCCCCATCCCAGGTGGGTCCAGTTGCGGTCACGTGTGACGTGTTGGCTGTAAACAAAGGCCCACACCACCCCTACGGTGGGGAAGAAGAACATCACCCTTCCAACACGTTCAAGCGTGCTTGACTCGGCATGTCGTCGGATATTGAAGAACTCCGGCGCCAACTAGCAGATGCTGAACAACGGCTTTCGGCGTCTCAACAGCAGCTTTCGGCGTCACAGCAGCGATTGTCCAAAACGAACCTTCCCACGTTTCTCGATGGCCTTCATAAACACCTCTTCCTCGGCCTTGAGGTCCAGCCGGACGAGAGCCAGTCGACGCGTGGGGATCCCGCAAATGCGACCAACAAACTTCGCCCCCGATACCTTAGGGCCTGGGACACATTCACGAGCGAACAAGAGGAAATTTGGCGACTGCTGATGGAGTCTTCGCTCATTGAAGATAAATTATTCACTTCGCTCCATACCTTGGAGGAGATGGGTGAAAGCATTCGCCGGCAGCTGATTGGCTCAGAACTTGACCTGAATCACTTTCTACGCCAGACCGTTGAGGACCACGTTTCGAAGATCATCGAAGAACTTTACAAGGATCCGGCCCTTCGGCAAACATTCGGACTAAGAGGATCGGTCCGTTTTGAAAACCATTCCAATACGTTGAGCCCGGAAGAGGAACTAGTAGAAGGGTTACGGAGCGTGGATATTCGCGGTCGCCCTACGCGACGACGTTCGCCTCGTTTAGCTGAGCGCGAAGAAAGGGCATCGAGCGCGGCCACCTGCAAACCGAAGACACCACCGCCAGTCCGAACCAAGAGGCCCCGTGCCGATCAGTTTTGTGTTTACAACATTCCAAACGAGATCTCTGAATCTACACATCGCGTCGCTGCCTACATCAAAGAATACAAATCCCCGCACAAAGTGACGCTGGGCCATATATACGAGGGATTGGGGGACATGGACGTTGATGAAGTGATTCAGGAGAAGGATGATGAACCCTCTAAAGTTCGGTTCCAGCGAGCGCTTGTCGGACTCCTTTCGCAGCCATTTGACTATATGGTCCGTGCTCGTACGCAGGTAGGAGTTTTTACCACAGGCGAAGCAGATATCTACCTGCGGATTGGTGAGGACCCTTCCACACTTTTTTACCACCTTTCCGTTCCAAAGGGTGACGTTGGGCATGAAACTGGATGGGATCCCTATTCAGACCGCCCAAATCGTTTACATTTGACTGCGGTGGGTCAAGCTCTCGCTTTTACCCTCCAAGCTCTTAAGTTACGTCCCCGAAGCCAGGCTTGGGGACTGCAAGCAACAAATACGTTGCCAACATGGGAAATTGTACCTGCGGACATTCTGGATGATATCTCCGATCAGGAAGTGCCTTCTTCTGAATATCGTCCGCCAAAATCAGAAGAATTTCTCCGATCGTCTCCGATACAACTACGCCGCCGGAGACGCAAACCCAGCACGAGTGATTGTCGACCATTACACGCCCATAACACTTCTGATGAGGATGATGACCCTCATACACCTAGCCGGAATCCACACGTTTCTCGGAAGGTTAATCGGAGCCAACCAGTATTGGCCAGCCAAACATCCACTACGGCTGGACGAAGCTCCTTCTCCGAGGAGAACCATCGCCGATACTGCACGTTGAAGTGTCTAAGCGGATTGGTACATGGAGGGGAATTAGGGGAGTTAGATCAGGCTTGCCCTAATGTCCGTGATCATGGTCACGGAACAACGCGTCATGTTATCAACGCAAAAACGTTCGTCCGCAAATTGCAACGGCAGCTCGCTGAGACTGTCAATGCAGATTGTGAGGTCATGGGAATCCACGGTTCTCGAGGCGCCCTGTTGAAAGTGACTCTTTCATCACACGGATACACTGTGCCCGCGAAGTGCACCGTGTCGGAGTTCCGTGATCACCTCCGACATGAAGCAGCTGTATACGACCAACTTCGTCCAATTCAGGGCATATACATCCCTCTCCACCTCGGAAGCATTGACTTGGCTCATCCCTATAGCTACGACGGGATTGCTTATCTCGAACATATGATGCTATTGAGCCCAAGCGGGCAATCTCTGGACCTAGCACTCAGGGAATTGGGCCGAATTTGTCTCGTTTCCAAATTGACAGAGTCTCTATCAGCGATACATACCCGACATGTCGTTCATAGAGACCCGGCTCCGAGAAATTGGTCGTACAATCCGGAAAGCAAAAATGTGGTGTTTTTCGATTTTGAAAGAGCTAAAATTATCGAGCCCCGTCCGATTTTAGGTATGATTTCACCGAACCGCAAACGCAAAAGGATTGAACATGGTGGCCTGGATAAGAAGCATCGGGGTACAGGATTTGCGGAGGAAATAAACAAGGCAGTGCATGAGCTGCGGTGCTTGCGTGTACAGCCATGGAACCAGCAGAACCAGTCATAATGTGGCCGATGACTGCTGGATCTTGTAATTCGGAGACGGATAGTATTCGCCAACCCGCACCTCCTTTTTTATTCAACTGTTCTTGACTCTCTCAACCTCAATGATTGATTGGCTGCAGGCCCGTCAAAATGATATTTTAGGAACATGTCTATAATTCAGCCACGGAGCCAGGGCTCTCCTCTATCCACTTCGAATGATAATTGTTGCTCGGTCAGGAGCTCTTCTGGCATTTTGCGTGCCGATTCTCTTTTTTATTTTGTGATTCAAAATTAGCCCTGCCTTTTCAGAAGCCGAGAACACTCTGCAATGAATTCCTCCTTCGTCATGTTCCCGCTGTCCACAAGCGCTCTGTTCTCCTCCGTCTTCTCTAAGGCCACATCATACTTATCCAACTCGCTCACCTTCCGCGCCGCAAATACCTCAAGCTCCTTTACGTTGTCGAATTCTTTCTCGCGCCTCGCCCACTTAGTAGACCCCAAATGCCGGCGCAGCTGCGTAAAAGGAAAGCTGCGCTGGTCGTTGAAGCCGGATGAGAGGAGCATATGCAGCCACATGGCCCCGGATGCTTTCGACCACTTGACGAGACTTGAGAGCTCTCTCCCTTCGTGCGCTGGCATTTTTGCCTCTTCTTCCTCCAAGATACGTATGAAAATTTCAAGGCATTTGAAGTATCGGTCGGCAATTTTGGGTGACTCGTCGCCCTTGTAGTCCCATGTGCTGTTGACGGGCCTGTCTTGGAGAAGCCACCACGGCGCAGAGCCAAACAGCTGGGCGGGCCCGATGTATGACCACTCGAGGTCCACTACTCCAACGACAGTGAGATCTTCCCTGCCGCGGACAATCAGATTCGCCAAGCCGAGATCATCGCAAATCAGCTTGAATTTGCAATGGTCATACTTCGCATTGACAAAGTCACGTATCAGGCTTTTTAGGACCTGAAACGCCACGTATTTGTTTTGGGCATCATATGAACCAACAGTCGAGTTCGGCTGGTGAACGAGTTGCTCCCAGTCCTGCCCAGCGACATATTGAAAATACTCTGTCGTTGTCGCAAACCCCTGTGTTCGGTCACCTAGACATCAGTTGTACAGTTAGCGCACTCGATTGGAGCATTAGTGACGAGAAGGGAAAAGATGACAAAAAGGCGTACCAAAAGTGTCAACTCCTCCATTTTGTAGAATGCTATGTGCCTTGAATGTTAGCGGCCGTGGCGGTGTAGGGTCTTGGGCTTCAGCCTGTGGCGACGGTAGGCTGCCGATCCGGTCAAAGTCGAGCTTTAAAAGCTGAAGCAGAAAATTCGCCAACTGCCTGTAAATTAATTCAATATCACTATCCTTGATGTCCTCCCTTATGACTCTGCTGGGGCACTCGGCTCTGGGGTCCTGCAAAAGGTCGCTGAGGCTCACACCGTCAATGAAATCCATCATGATGAACGGTCCTAAACCAAGTGGATTGCTCGCAGCGGAACCCCACGCCTGTACTCTCGGGACAGGAATAGTAGTCCTATTACGGATGACATTCAGGGCTGCCACCTCCATGGCAACCTTCTCGTCGGCGTGATCGTCGGAGACCATCCCCACAAGAGGGTAACGAACCATCCATGCAGTGCTGTCACTGAAGACCATCTTCATGCCTGCATTGAACGCGCCGTGGTGAAAGGTACCCTCAAGTTGACAGGGAAGCTTGTTGGGATGGAAAGTCGATACCCACTGACAGAGACGGCCCGTTCTGTGGGTCTCGTTCACTTTGTCAACCCAAAGCTGGCCCTGCACCTCGTGGACGAGATCGATAGGCGAGTTGATGTCCATAACATTGGAGAGGGCTTCAATGGTTGAGGTTGAGCACTGGGGCTGGATACAACTTTGGTGATTGAGTGAGCTGGTCGAAAGACGCGCGAAATGGACGAGGGGGCTACAGCCCGTTTTTAACGCACAGCGAATAAATACAGCTTGTAAATAGCTCCTGTTCAGAAACTGCTTCAGTCCTATTGGAATTGGGTAACCATCCTATGTGACGTAGAATGAGATACAGTATTTCAAGGATAGTAAACTAGATTTGGACATGTACTCCTTATGTGGCGCCTGACATTTTGCAGGTTGAAAAACTCATTTGAACAGTAGACACATACCCTTCTCTGGGTCTGTTTTTTGACCAATGATGTCTTCGAACGGGAAGAAGCCTTAGCGACCCTCTGATTTGTACCTATACAGATTAGCGATTGAAAGACAGTCACGCGTTTGGTGCACGCGTACTGGAAATACCTGGTCGTTTCATCGATTCGATTTTGCGGATCACCAAACATCTCAGTAATGTCTGTCGATCCTCTGCATTGATTGTGGCGGTGTCCAAAGTCTTGTAGAACGTCTCGGCTGAAATTGTATTCCCCACGTTATCGTGGACTATATTAAATATAATTCCTTTGCGCTCTTTCCACGGTCAGCTACGTCAATCAAGATTCTGGAATCACCTACCACAGTCCTTAAGCATCTCTGGCTTCTTATATCTGCCGGATTTTGGCCATCCTATTGGCTTCTTCCATTTTGGTTTCCCCGAGGTCTCTATCCACTTAATTAAGAGTTGCAGAGAGGTTTCTTCCTTCAGAGTTTTGATTTGTCTCTGATAGATTGTTCTCAGAGCAGGAGGACTGATCTTGTCGAGCCTCCAATATATTGTTGCTACGGTTTCACGGTCGCTCTCTGATAGCTCCAATAAAGATTCTGATAGCCCTGACAGAATATTAGTAGCCATTTTCATTGCTTATTTATAATGGGTGCAAACTTTTTCCGGCCTTCGTCGCGGGGCGAGGAAGTAAGGGTGGCAGTGACGGACTGTTGGGTGGAATGGCGTCCTCAGAATTCCCTATACAACACGTTTTTGGGGTCTCAACAACAAATGAGACCTCTTCAGGAGAAGTAGCCCGAGACTGGTGGCTAGGAGTCATGCAATGGTACTGAAGCGAGCTAATGAATGTGCCACGAGCTAGTGCTGGTTTCCACGTGTTCGCACCATAGACTTTAATGTACTTCGATGTATGACTCTGTTCCCAGCAAGTGGTGGATACCGCAGTTGATACGCAATCAGTTTCAAATCCAGAAATCGAGCCCCCGTTCTGTTGTGGAAGGCAGTGTGAAACCGATAGAGGATGCTCCAAATTCGATGCTATCTCAATTTGCTGCTGATTAGAGTCTTGTCCGACACATCTACGAAGAGGTCAGCAAGGTGCCAATGCAACAGAATAAACACATTGGTATACCTGGAGTTTTCGTAGCTGGCTGGCTTGATAGTCTGACATGGACCTTGATTGATTGAATCTGACAAGGCTGGGAGAGCACTCCAATCTCTCGTCGTCACAGACATGCCTATGGTGTTCGCGATCGGTGGAATGCAGAACAGATTCAAACGGAAGCATCGAGTGCAAGGCCGCGGAGCTGTTTTCACCAAGTCACACTTAACATCTCCTTGCTGGCAGCTTTGGCAATATCCCTGGACTTCAGACAATCAGCTGTCATCGACAAAATTCGCCATCCGTTGTACGCACTATTCGAAACTCCACGATCGCATGTAACGTTGTTAAATGAATAGCCTTTGTGAAACGAAGGATTTAGCGTCACATCAAAAGGTGAAAAGAAATACATCGAGCAAGAAGCAATCGAGAAAAATCTCAGCGATCCTTACCCTTATGGACTTCGAGGCACAATTCCGAGGCTGGTGCAATTGAGTAGAGCCGTTCTCTTTGCATCACGGATGCGAAAATGTCTTCATAATTATGAGAATACCCGAGACGAGAAGACCGAAGGAAAGAATACAGGGCGAACCAAAATATACCTTAATTCAGTCAGCCGTATGACCTAAGAATTTCTCATAAGCGAGGACGTACATATAGCTAGGGGAGGTTCCAAGGGAGCGGGGCGCGTGCTGCCCAGTGACAGTTCTTTGAAATCCCCTGCGCCATCTCTCTAACATAATACTGGAAATATTGTAGATATGGAACTAGACCTAAATTAGAGAAATATTGACTCTGATCGACATCGGACCGTTCTAGTGCCCTCTTTGCAGAGAGATAGTAGACATTAGACACGCGCTGCGGAAGCTCGTTCGTCTCTGATCAGGAAAGGTTACCAGTATGGGGCTTTTTGGAACGCTGCCCTAGGATAAGCCCTGACCTATCAAAAGAAAAATTAGTCGAATACATGATTATTCAGTAAAATTGAAATTCAATTTTACTGAAATGTACCGTAAGATTAGTGTCACTGCGGCAAACATGTAGGTATATCTAATAAAGAAGATGAAGTCTCCAGGTTCTTAGCGCGAACGTAGCTCTGTGGCGGCGCTGATCGAAAAAACTACTATAGTCAGTAATTTATCGAGGCTTCCTGATCCACGTAGCTGCTCGTTTAGGCTAGGGCTAAGGATGCGATCGGATGTGACTATCGAGAGCTCGGACTTGAAACCAGATTCGGACATTACAAAAGACAGCAAAGGCATAATAAGGAAGACCCCATTTCCCTGACCCGCGGTATTTCTTCACGGACTACCTTTGTTGCCTTTTGTGGACCTTGCAAACATATCTAATTTTTACTCTCCTTTCTTGTATCCGAATATTTTCTAGCCTACCCCCATCGGCCAGTGAACACGCAATCCGCATACCGTTATGATGCCTCCACGTATCCATTTCACGAATAAAAGCCAACGCGACCATCAGAACAAAGACCGAGAGGGCTCTCTGCGAGCGTCAGCCGACCTCACGGCGGAAGGACAAAGGAAGAAGGCTCTGGAATATTTGAATTTTCTCAACAACTTTTTTCAAACATACAATGTGCTTGAAGATGAGGATTACTACAAGCTTGGGAGGTGGATTGGACGGGTTGAAAAGCTAAATTTGTCAACATAATATGAAATGGGAATGCGAAGGCAATCCTTCATTCTCTAGGCGGAAAGAGAGGCGGGTCAAAAAGAAAGATCAAGTATTTGAGTTTGAGACGTAAAAACTGAATTTCGTCTTTATTCCAATCGATGTGGTGGAATAATGTTCGGCGCAGTTCCTTTCCGGGTTGGAGAGAAATTTGAAGACAATCTCAATCTCGTTCCTCATGCCAGTGCTCCCATTGTCGTTCATTGTCAGCCATGGGGTAAAAAATAAACTCTCCGGAGAGTGTAACACATCTTCGACAGAACTATCGAGCCATCCACCAACAATGGATTGGACGTCGCATTTACGTTTCTACATGTCTGTGAAAACCTGACCTTGTCGGGGTTCTCTATTGCACCGAAATTAAGAAGGACTGAATCGATCTTCGCGTTCTCGTCCAAATGGGAAAGAGGTACTTGCCACCGTACACACCATTTTTGTCTGTCCAACTGCATACTTGGGCAGAAATGACCCTCGGAAGACGCTACCACATCGCTGCTGGGAGCACATAGGGCAACAGATTGATTATGGAAACGTGGAGTTCAATTTCGTCAAAATTGAACTAACATTTATTGATACGCAACCTTTGTTTTCGGGAAAATCACAAAACGGTATTTTGTCATCAGGAGACGAGTTAATTTCCAGGGGAAACTGCTCATCTTTAGATGGTCTCGGCCGTCAATCTAAGTTCGTCTTTCTGGGCGCGACTTGCTGCTGGAAACAGAAAATGTAACGCAGGTCTAGTGTCCATAAATTCTTCATAAAATTTCAATCAAACGCTCTTGTTAGGCACGCCTGATTCGCGTCATTGCAGCAGGCCTAAGTGGGACAAGATGTAGACGAGGCCGCCGTTTGTCTCTGAAGTAGAACATAGAGTCTCGATTTCGGATATTAGATTTGGAACACCAGGTTCAAAACAAGCCTCCTTTATAATAGGGGGGTTGTTGAGATGCGATGCGGCAATTCTTATATAAAATGCGCTTCATTCTGTCAGCGCTATTGCGGTGTCCTCGAAGAGAGTCTCTTACAGATAGCGTCGAGTCTTCGACCCCGATCGTTCCAGACTAAGCGTGTGATGGTTAGAAAATTTGAACCTAGTTCCAATTTACAACCCACCTTTCTTCAATAATGACCTTTGGAAAACCAATGGCCGCCCTTTTTTGTATGTTTTTGACAACGCACGGAGCTCGCATCATCTCGTGAACAGTCCCCCATCTGCGGACCCAGGCCATGTCGTCGTCTTTGATATGAACTACAAAGCTTGTCTTTGTATGTCTTTTCAATGTTAAGAAATGTTGAAACCTGCCGTTCTCAGGAAACTCACAGTGGTTGGCCTCTAGAAGAATATTCTTGACATTCAATCGTGAGAAAATTTTCCAAATCAGCCGTGTCTGCATCGTTGTTTGCCGACAAGTCAATGACAAACACGTCCTTGTTCCTAGGCATGCAATTCTGTGTTGTATCTCGTAAGATCGCAGGGACCTGGGCCAGCGTAGGCTGGTCGCATTTCGGGGCATGAAGGACCGGCCTGTACTGTTGGTTCGGATTCTTGCTTTGGGGCCTGTATAACGGAGTCAACAGAATACCAGATAAATTTAAGACTAAATAGTAACTTACCTTATGGGGTGATATGAATCTTGTCTGATTGGCTCTGACGAGGTTGGCAAGAGACTCCGATCGCTTCTAGATGAGCCAGACATGTCTGCTGTGTCTGCGTTCGATTGTTTACACGGCAAGTGGCCCTGTGTCGAGATTGTGAAGAATACTCAAGCGATTATGAGAATTCCAGAGACGAGAATATCGAAATAAAAAATCGGGGCGTATATTCTATTCTTCACCTTTGCGACGATCCGGCGGCATCCCCCCATTTTATGGTTTCAGCCCATATACCTTCGCCTA